TATCTCCTCATTTGTGACAATAATTTTACCAATATAAGCAAAGCCGATTAGATGGTGTTCAATTTCCGAGCAGGTGATGGCAACGACTATCTCAACGTAGCCATCAAAGATGGCTGCCTGAGTCTCACCATGGGTCTGTCCAATGGGAAGCAAGAGATGCAGATAAAGCCCAACAAAGTTAGATTCGATGACAATCAGTGGCACAAAGTCAGCATCCACAGGAGGATCCAAGAGGTGAGTGCAATAGCGGAAAAATTAGGTAGGAGGACATTTTAGTCTCCATTCTTCAACAGAAATGATATACAAATAATCTCTGGTAGAAGTACATGATTCCTCAAAGTAGCATCAAGTGTTAAATACCATATGATACACAAAGTCACGACATTTTACGAAATTAACTCATCAATTGGTACATGTTTCTGACATATAAAAACAAATATTATCATAATCATGAACATAAAAAAATTTATATATATATATATAAAGAAATACTTTGAGAATTCGCATTCTTTATGTGATGAAAATAACAATTCTTTTCCGGTTTATTCAACAAGAAACAGGTTTATTCAACACAAAACAACTACTTTCCTGGCTACATGCTACGACGAACATTGAATTATATCTAAAAAAATATAATATGTCCTTCATCAGCCACAACTTCTTGAATTGAAAACCATTAAATGGTCCCTCCCAGTGTATCCGTTTGGAGGCCACTTGTTGATTTCCACCTCAATGCACGCATTTTCGGGGGTATGTTGGGTTACCCCATAACATTTTCATAATAAAAACAATTCATTATAGTTTTTTATAGTTGATACAAGAAGTTGATCTAACCTTCTTTTCACCATGTAAGCACTCTCATGCTCATTATTCATGACGACTGTACTAATCACTCACTTTAATTTGAAGACATTGATGTGATTTCTGATTAGGCTGATGATAGATATATGTCCGAAATATGTACCAATTTCAATTGATGTGTTAATCACATTGAATGTCGTGGAGAGGACTATGTATCTTTCAGTATTAATTATACAAATGTTATATCAGCTTGGAAGTGCCTGTGATAATATTGTATAACGAAATAAGTTGCATTTTAATGGGATAATCTCCTAAGAAAAACATTTTTTCATGGAGGTGTCTGGCGGGACCGTCGTTCTGGAATTAAACGAGTTTTGCTTTATTTTGTGAGAGATGGGAAATACCGAGATTGTGCGGCCTGAGCTCTATTTATCTTGCTCAGAGAACGTTACAGAAGTAATTCTTTTCTATTTGCTACAATAGAAATATTTGCTGGAAAGAAAATGGCACAGAATTTTCAGATGATTACATCTTGAATCATTGTATCAAAAGGAAAATGATTCTATTATATTCCAGTTCATTATGTTCTCGAGTAATTCTTGATGAATCTGTTTCAGATCTCACCCATCACAAGCTTCTGCAGGGTAAGTAATCATCTACTATTCATCATTTATAACAAACAGACTTTTCCCACAAGATTATTTCTCACCATGCTTTGTTCTTTTGTCAATGCTGTTGTTGGTCCTGTTGTTATGAATCTGAATCCAATTAGTTTTTGTTTAGAGAAAATTAATTTGATTACGTCTGAGAAGTTCTTAGCACAAGCTTAGAAATTACTTTTAATACCTGTGATATCATTTCTCTTTCCACCTTATATTCCTTCACCACAAGGGAGATTTGTTGTTGCATATACTCTGCAATTCAATTAAACCTCATATAACAGGCTGAACGGGGAAACAATTATACAAAATGTATATTCAGGAGTGACTGAGGAAATATAATGTTTTCGAGGACGTTAGCCGATTGAAGGAGAATTCAAACAAATAACCCTTGCAGCTGTTTTCAGGAAACTGCATCAATGTTATACTTGCCGAGCGAACTCCCATTCAAAAATCTCTAACAAAGCTCATTATACCAATTTGCATTATCTGTTTGAGTGTTAATGAACAAGGCAAATTCTAGACCAGACATTATGAATTGTTTTATCACAATACACGATAGTACCCAAATACAATAGCTGTAAATGATACAAATTTCAAGAGTGGCATTTCATTTTTTTGTGTTCATGAAGAAGATTCCAGTATGCTTAATTTTCCTGTCTAATAATATAATGAGTTCTCTACTGAAACTATATTCACTCTCCAGAATTAATCTTGAGACAACTGAAAACTCTGCTGAGGTAAACAAAATACATGTTAACCGGGGATATATCGGATCGCAAGGGTGATATCGGATTATATGGTTATATCTCAAATTACACCCGCTACAATTGATGGGTGACAGTTGACTCACTAAAGAAAATAACTTACATGCGTTTCGCGCTTGATCAGAAATTCAAGATAAGCTCACAAAAAAATTATTATTCAACCCAGATATGCCTATCGTCCTTCTATGAGGACACTGCGCAAAAAGTTTCCTACTGCGTAACTTGTGTATCTACCCAGATTTTCTCATGATTGGCATCACATATCGAATGAAAGAACATTCATTATAGATTATTACTCGGGTTATTATCAATACAGCTGATCAGCAATAAGTGAATACAAATGGATATCAAACATTAAGTTCAAATTGGCAAGCATATTGATCTCAACTATCTTCAATCTTCAGATGATTACTAAACTTATGATGAACAATCTGAAATATCTGACGCAATTATGTCTCCTCTCAATCATTGTATACTAGTTACAGATTAGGACTTGAGCGATGAAGATACAGTGGACAGTAGTACGGCTTAGCAAATTCATATAATGTTTTGATACCACCGGAACATATAGGGGGCTAATAAAGCCGACCAAAATATAATAGAGATGCGCTACGTGGTAAGAAACGGTACATGCCTCTTATATTTCACATGTTAGATATGTGTGAAAACAATGTGTGGCAATTACATAGGATGCAATCCAATTTTGGAAGGCAATCAGAGAAAACTTTCCATACGTTCAAAACCATCTCCATTAGAAAGCGCAGTAGAAGAAAACAAGATGCCAATATTTTCATGAAAAACGTTCCCACCAAATGCGAAAAGTGCGACGTTCTAAGTTACTTGTTTCAAGCCCTATTATGTCAGCGACTAGTTGAATCATATTATTCATTTGAGTGTATGTTCAGACGGGTTTCAATGTCCTCTTGTATTATATTTCGAATATTGATATTCTGAAAACTTTCATTCTAGGAAATGTCACTCATTTGTCGACTGTCCTTCTAAAAGGACATCTTCTTTTTGGAAACCCAAGCTTTCAAATTCCATTTCAAAACGTTTCGGTTACCCAATTTCGAATACTGAACTAGTTATACACGACAAATATCGACATTTGCAACAAAATATTTCCAGGGATATCTGGGTTAAGTCATATTTTTTGCTAAAACTGAGATAGCCAAATTGTCTCCTCTGATCTGTGAACCCTATGCATGATAGATATATATACTGCAATGGGATTGACATTTGTTTTTAGCCTCATCAAGAAAGCCGGCTCTCCTACTATTACATTTTTTCTGTACCCTGTATGACCATTAACTTGTTTTTTTTTTGTGGAATCGTCCGATGAAGGGATTTGATCAAACCTATATAAAATACCAGTCTCAAACGTATTTTTTTATCGTAAAAACCAAAGCGTCTGTTATTACCCCAAACTCCTGGTTATAACGGACGACGTTTTGAAAACTTTTGAAAGTTTTTTATGTAAATATTCTCAGTAGGTGAACTTCTTGCTATATAATGAATAAATTAGCTTTGATTTCGACTAACACTAGAAATACAGGCATATGATTGATTATATCGTCCGATATAGCATTGGTTGACTATCTGTTATCAATGTTGTACATACGAATGAAACAAACATGTCAGCATCTCATTTCCACATGGATATTTCCTAATAGTTTATGTATTACGTAGTTTTGAATATTCTCATGAGTATTTCAAAGACCAGCCCTGACTAAAGTTCAAATCACGCGGCATTGCTGTTGTTTACTGCGCAAACTCAGCATTTCATCTGTGCTAAATCAATATGTATCGATGTATATTTAATTTTCTAGAATAATTTCGAAATTTCTCAATACGATTGCGCCCACATCGATGTTTATCATTCGTTTTTCACTCACGTCAAGGCTAAGGGTGAAAGTCCAATGACTAGTCGTGTTTCTTTAGAATTTTCATGACTGGTTCATAATTTGTGGAAAAGCTTTGAAGATCTACAATTTCCATTAATGAGTTGAAAGAAAATTCTCGTGGATATTTACTTTATTGGGTGAATAAGAAGGTGCTTCGTCGCGACCCTTTGAATGTCTGATGTTGCTTGTCGAGCAGCTTTAGCTCAACTTCTCAAGCCCTAATAGGTTATGAAGGACTGTTTCGAATTTTGCCAGACACAAGACTATTAGCGAGTAAGCGCCTTAAAAACCTAATTCCTAATCTAGATTCGTTCGCTTTGTTCCATTCAAAATGATTCTCGCTTTCACAGATTCGTTTAATGGGCTTCGAAGAAGTTTTCGTTGACACACAGTGTGTTGGTTTCTACTGATGAACATAAAGAAAGTTCACATAAACATGATAAAAGAATGGTTTGTTAGCTACAGCCACTGAAAAGTTGGTTCTTGAAAATAACCTATAAGAGGTGAATTGAATGAAATTTTGATAGTGAAAATGACCTCAGAACTACCGGACTCGTAAACAAAATCGAAGACAGTGAGTAGATCATGAAAAATCAGTCTAGGATCGTCTTCTATGTCACCATAAATGGCTTCAGTCAACGACATACGACTACTATAGATGTATTTCTAGGATGAGTTTTATCCCCACAATTCAATGTTGACTATAAAACATGGGGATCTTGGGTGATCAAAAAATTATTCTACTATTTCATAAGTAAGTAGTGATGAAAAATGGTCCAAAATCTCTGAAAGTTCGTGAAATTCCAATCGGAATATGATATCTGTCTCATTTTATTCACTATCGTTATCTCAATATGCATTTGATTTTAGCTTTCAGCAGTAGTGGATGGTGTTTATGCTGATCACTCTCATATAGCAGGAAAATTCACGATGCTGTCATCCAGCAGAGTCTACGTAGGTGGCAGTATCAATACTAGGGCTCTACAAGGAGCGAGGGTCCATAACAACTTCGTCGGCTGTATGAGAAAGGTAAGAATAAAAATATTCAAGTTTCCTGAGAAAATGGAGAATTCCTTAGCATGCCGCTTCAGCCGCAAGCATTCCTTGGGAATATGTCTTCGAAACTTTATATCACTTCGAATTCTTTCATCTCAGTGGGCATTCGGAATCACCGAGACTACAAGGTTTTCCGCTTTCTATCTGACAGAAATACCTCCACGTTTCCACTTTGAATATATTGGGTAAACTATTTTTAGAAGCGAGGGATAATCGAAGCAGTTAGAGGCAATAAAAGTCTCTCTGCGTTGTCTTGCAACCCATGCGTTTCCATGTTAGTTCATAGAATTTGTTCAACTTTCGAAATGCACAATCATAATACTATATCTCTAGAAATAATGCTTTTTCCGTCAAACGCTGTCGGTCGTCAAACCAGTTATATTTCATGATCATTCACATGAAATTTCGTTAGTAGATACACCAAGCGTGTTCTAGATCGAATCAGCTTCACTTCATTATCACTCAATTCCTAAACATCAGATTTCAAAGGCTCATCAAGATACCTACCTGCAACGTGCAGATTTTACATAATGACACGCTTCATTACATGTAGAACGCTATAACTCAATTGATGATGGTTTTCACTTTCATTGAATACCTCATACATATACTGGATCAAACCAGCTACAATTGAATATTCAATTCGCAAACATCAAATTATTATATTATAGTGAACTAGGTTTCCACTTGCTCTAACATGGCAATTATAAATAATGACCAGTCAAAATGATGTTCACATGTATCTAACCCATTGAATTGTGGTTACAATCAACAGAACTGAAGTATCAATTACTATTGAAGTCCTTGTATAATATTGCATTGTTAGCATGAAATGATTTAGTTACCTATGCATTGATGAAGATTGAATTACAACTCAGCATCAATTTCTACTAGGTATGTTTGAATGATTGTAATTGTGATTCATTATTCTGAAAATCACACGCAAAAATATTCCAATCAAGTAGAGTTTCAGTCACGTGAAATTTTCTAGCATGTCAACTTCGCATTTCCTTATAACCACATAACCAGAATGGTGACTGTCCCATTTCGAATCGTATTTAAGTACATTCGAGAAACTAGTAATAATTTCCTCTGATGTCTGCAAGTAACAACCGCAACACAACCCTCAAATCTGCCTGGAGGACATAACTTCGCATCCGCTCCTTGTAGAGATCTAATTTGTCTTTATTTGAGTAATGAGATTTTCAAAGGGTCCAAGCAAAGTCAAGAGACAAGTTCGACTCTGATTCTCCTCAAGCTTCATTCGAGGACAAGGATCGGAATTGAAGGAGTTTGCGGAAGATTCAGACTTAGTTTAGGTCAGCGGTCGGCTTTGTGTCATTTCATGGAAGAGATGTTCATTTCTTGTTCAACAAATAAACGAGGCGATGTTTGAGATACGACCCATAATCTGCCTATTTACTTAAATAAACCACCGTCGTCTCGTATAAAATGATTGAATTGATGCACGGGAATAAAATGATCATCATATTTGAATTAGTTCCACATACAGAGTGTTGCGAAATACGACCGACAGCGTTTCACAGGTGATAGCCCTCGTGATTTCATAATCACTGAGATAGGGACATAAGGTCTTCAAGTGTTCAGTTCTCGAGATACAGGGCGTTGAAGTTCAGAAATAAAAATAGTTGTTTCGCAATATCTCAACAGAAACATCCTACTCGAAATTGTTGAATGATACCATATACCTATTCTCTATCAGTGAATGATTCTCTCTTCATTAATATCATGATCTGATCTATCATCCATATATTTTCTTCATATCTCATAATACAGTTCCTCAATCATCATATCATTATATCAAAATAATAAAAACATCTTGTTTGAAATAGACTCGAGCAAATTGACTAATTGTTGACCTGGTCTGTGGTGTTCGATCATTAGAAAATTTGCCTAATTCAAGATACATTACTAAAATTCTCAATATGTGAACAAATCCACGTCTTGAACCGGCTATATTGATTAAAAAAAAAAGATCGATCGTATTCCTAATATGTTTGCTGCGAACAATGAGAGTGGAAATTGTATACGTGACTTCTGAATGTTACTCTGGATTATTTCAAGGTTGAATTCGTCGCGGATACATTGAGGTTGAACCTCCTGGAGTTGGGCAGGTCTGGCAGCCATCTTATCCAGGTGGCAGGCCGCTTGGATTATAAATGCCCGACAGGAGAAACACATGATCCCATTACATTCACCTCCAGGGAGTCTCATTTGGTAAGTACTTCGTGACTTAGTATCTAGTCTAAACATTTACGAAATGCATTCTAATATATATGGTGAAGTTCATTCTCCTAGAGAACAATTACTTTTATACTACGACGAGCAAAGTTGTGATTTCACATAATATGAGAGAGAATATATCAACATGAGACATACAGCTTGATAGTTATTGGCAGCTGAGATATTTATCAAAGATTGTGTCGGCGTTATTGAACATCGTTTCGTGTTATGAATTGTATTATTCAACCCCAGACAACATAGTGTGTAGGTATTATTCGGTGAAAATTGGATTCCATCTTCAATGACTCGTCGGAGCATGAGTATATGGATCGATGTTTCCATAAAAGGTTCATGAAATTTCGTAGAAATATAAAATTAGATCGGAATAATCACAAACTGAGCCAAGGAACTTTATAGCTCATAAAATATTTTTATGCTTCGGAGTAGATACGATCTGTTACAGTATGAACTTTGTTTCAAAGTGAAGCCCTACTGATTTGTATTCCTGAATTACGAGCTCTTCAAACTTTGTGGATCGATAAGGTTAAAAGTAAAGCTTCATTAGAGTTGTTTATCTTTAAGTATGTTCATGAGATTTTGTTAGCTCATGAGCATGATAGGTTTGTTTCCTCTCAGGATCGTCTTGAAAGGATTGAAGAAGAAGCAACAACAATATTGTCTATCATATTTTGGAATACTTTTCGCTCAGATTGTCCCAGAACTCTTACAGCTCTACTACTAATAGAGATGTGGTATCATCAGGACAAAAAATGATTCTTATATGGTCTGTAAAGTTTTCTCTCGTGCGCTGCAAGAGATAACAAAATATATATAGCTAAATGATCGATGGCTCAGTAGAATATACTCACACGATCCTGGTCTTCCTTGAGAGATACATCACTGGATCCTATTTTAAAAAAGTTCAGATAGGGTAGATTTCATCAAAGATGCTTCCACCATGTCCCGATATGAGGTTGTTTTCCCAAATCGGTCTATAAGTGTTTGCTAGCCTCAATGGTCTGCGAGAGCTGATATTTGAAAAGGCACTAATAGTTTAGGGGTAGCTAAAAGTACGAGATCATATATACGGACAAAATAATATTTATCAAAGATGAATCATTATGGGTAGTAATGAATAAATAATGAGACCAAAAACCAACTCACCTAATAATAATCAAATTGGCTAGTTCTTGTCAAGTCAGGAGTATACCCAGACTAGACAAACTTTGGAAGCCTTACATCCAATTATTAGATACAACAATTCATCATTGGTTTCCACGTTTGTCATGAGAGTTCCTAGATCAGTATTCATAGTTCATTGTCAGATGGACGAATTAATATTCACAAAACCCTCATGGTTCGAACTTGCTAATATATAGAATTTTCTACTCATGACAATACACCAGATAACGTTTCCTGTGCAATTCCTTATTATTACTATGCATTTCTAACGAGTAACGGTCAAATCAATTCTAAAAATGCCTATTTTATTATCTTTCTGCCAGAATTGTAACTTCGGACTGCTCTAGCCTATTGCATTCACCAACGTACTGATTTAGACACCAATAATATTTTTCCCCAAGTCACGAGCGAAACCATCAGGAATCAAGCACTTGAAGCTAGTCTGCCAAATGGTCAACGGGCTGAACACTTCCTTGCTTGGATCCATTATTATATGATGTGTACAAAGCTGCATTCTATATTCGTATTTTATTATTCAAGGTATTTTCATTTTTGCACACAAGATGTTTGCGACATAAGTCATCACCTTGCAAATGTGTTCTGTTTGTCTGCCTGGTGAGAACTAGGGATGCATTTCAGAGTGAACTGTTGATACATCATTCCACTCTTCGGACCTTTCACCTGTGATTTATTTCCAGATTCTGCCGCCATGGAACGCTAAGAAGTCGGGCAACATCTCATTCAAGTTCCGCACGAACGAAGCCAACGGCCTGATACTTTTCAACGGTGGAATCAGACCGCCTAGAGTGAGTTCTCTCCCTTAATTCTCATTTCCTCTATTTTTCATTTTCCAGCCACTCTAGTCGAAAGGTTTCTCGTCCTAATGTTTCCGCAGATCGCGAGAGGCAGCGAATTTGAATATGAATTAGCGATTGGGAAGAAGAATATGAGTCGGGTTTGATCGAGGTTTATTCATCGTGGATTCTTTTTCGAACGGCAAGATGCATCATTATAATCAACTGAGTACCTACTCAATGGAAGCAATCTGATGTCTCGAGGTGATTGGGAAATCGTGGAATAGTCACCAAATTCGTTGAACTTGCTCGTAAGGAATTCATGAACATGAAAATACACGAGGAAAACTTGGAAAAGTGGAAGATGAGAAGTGTGGTGAAATAAAATACATAAGATAAAGTGGGGAAACCTGAAAAGAATCAACTCAGAATATGTTGTTGAGCTCGACACATTTTCAAAACTCAAGTATTGTTGAAAAAATCGAAAGAAAAGTTAACGAAAACGTGAAGAGAAGATTTAAAAAAAGTGGAATAACTCGAAGTAGATCGGAAAATGTTGATAACTTGGAATGAATTTGTAATGGAAACATTGTAAAAATCGTAAAAAAAATTGAAAGACCCGTGAAAAATTCATAAAAAACTTGAGACATTGTGGGAAACATTGAAAACGAAAAAAACACCTATAGCATTCACTTGAAATTGAAATGTTGAGCTCGAAAAATTTTAGAAATCAATATTGTTGAAAGCATGGGAAGGAATCACTGAAATCAGAAAAAGTTTACATAAACTTGAAAAGGAGACTCGAAAAATGTAAAATAAGTGGAAAAATTGTAAACATCGTGAAAAAAGCTACAAAACCGGAACACATGTGAAAAATTCATGAAAAACTTGCGAATTTGTGGAAAACATTGATAACGTGGAAAAAACACCTATAACTTTACAGTTTTCAAACATGAATAGGTACTCAAAAATTTAGGAACTAGGGATTTTTGGGTACGACAAATCATAATAATGGTTTTTTATTATTCTTTACTGTTGACCGGTTATGAAATGTCACTTTACAAAAATTATTTTCTTTTCACGGGAAAAAAGTGAGTACTACTGCAAGTCCTTTCATATTCCATTCCACTTCACGGTTACGAAGCTAAATACTAATACTTTTCACCCTTGTATAATAACTATTTTCTATCAGTATTTTATTCAGATGAAATCATTCGTTTCAGATATGGTTGAAGAAGTATTGGCCTTTGATTGATGCTTACCAAACATTACATTTCAAATCATCTCTGAAATGATTCATTCATTCTCTTTCTGTTCAAAATATGATGATCACGTTGAAGCACCAACTTTGAAAAAACTGGTTTGAATTTCAAATTCTGAAACCCGAATGTCCGACATGGGACCCAAAATGAAAAATGGCATGAAATAGTCATATCACTTTTTTATATCCAGGTGGACTTATTCGCTGTCGAAATCTACAACGGACATATCTACGTGCATCTGGACCTAGGTTCAGGCCCCTCCAAACAAAGGGGCTCTAGAAGGAGGATAGACGACGGCATATGGCATGAGGTGACTTTCAGGAGGACTGGTAGAGATTCCAGGATAACTGTCGATGGATTCCACACCGATTTCAAAACGATCGGTAAGTCATGTCTTTGTCCCATTCATGTAGGTATCGTCCACAGCTACAGATATTCGTCTCGTGGGTTACGCCTCGCTCACAAACTCACTCACTTCTCTGGAACACCGTAGAAAATTTGGCGACCTGGCTCTATTTCATAGATATTTTCATGGACGATGTTCTTCTGGAATATCAACAAATTTTCGTCCCTTGGCAGTCCCTGCGAGATTAACCCGTCGAGTTGAGGCTTCGCACTCCTTCGTGGTCACTTTGGAGACCTGCAGAACATCTCTTCCCAAAGACTCGTGCATCCAACCAACAGGGAGGCTCTGGAACACATTGCCAAGGGAGGTGTTCCCCGAGGCATATAACCTTCAGAAATTCAAGAAGAACACCAATTCCTACCTTATTTCCCTTGGTTCTCACGATGTTCTCTGAACATTACAGGATATCCCTCTTCGTAGGAACCAGTAGTAAAAAAAATAGATAGTCCAAAATCTGAAATTATTCTTTGGTCTTCCACCTACAAATTTTTTTCAGAATCAGTCGACTTTCTGTCCAAGTTAATGTTAGATGAGGCTGAAAATATAATCAAATTGGCAACTGAACTACAGAAAAAGTATGTAGAGGATCTGGACATTATTTTCCTGATAAATGTATACATCATCTGATAAAACTATAAATTCCTCTTCCGGAGATTAAAGGAAAATCGTCTTTAGTAATAGTCCTATTTCTACACTACAATGATTCAGTAACATCTTTCCTCAATATAAATATCAGTTCTCGAATTTTTTGAATTAACAATAATTATTTTGTCTATCAATCAAGACCTACTGAATGGAAGTAATGTAAAGAGTTCGTAAATATTATTATATATCTCTGCTCCGATTGAAGCGAAATACAAATATTATATTAGTTACTCTATGTTTCCAATTACGTACTTACCTTATCAAAATATAATTTGATTTTCCTTCTTTATACAAACTCCATATTTATTATTTCTGTTGTTCATTATTCAAACAAAGAATTATGTTCTCCATTTTATTTCGAAAGATCCTGTTTTTATGTTATATTTTCTATTTTGATCAATAAACAAATTAAAAAAATGTGCAGTTATGAAAAAATCCAAAAACCTGAGAAATTACGAATTACCTTGAACACCTTGAACCAGCACTGTGTTAATAGGTCAGGAACCAGTCTGCATTCCTGACTATAGGCAGTCTCTGAGAAGCAACGGGCAAATAGTATATATATGTAGTTACTACTCCTGCTCCATTTTTTTTCTGCGAATAAATGACTGATGGAGTAGATATACTCTGACCGGAGTTACAGTAATAACAATGGCAGAAATTTGTAGGATAACAAACGGTGATAGTGTCTGGTTTCCCAGACGCTCCACATCTATTATTCAGGGACGTACGTCGCGAATCATGTACCCGAATTAAATTACAAGGATACGCGAAATGCGGATGTTATCCTTGGGACGTGGCGGCTTAGAAATTTGAATAATTGTCTTTTCCTTGGCGCATAGCGCCCACTATAGATAGGGAGTTTTACGGAGGGAGTTCTTTGACGTAATGATTTTCGGCGGGTCGTGGCGGAATTTGAAACTCGGGGGTTATTCGTTCGGAGAGATGATATGGGCGGAACGTTATTATAAGAGACGTTTCGGATGATGGAATGTGGAAACTTGCTGAATGATAATGCTGTAATACATATAATTCGCCGAAATTCCAGTTGATACTGGAATGTTAAATTAGGCGAGGCATTAAATATGCGTCGCTCGAAGTGGAACAGAGTCGACAAAAAAGTGTTAACTGAAATGAAACGAGTATTTGATGAGTGCACAGGGGAACTAGCTATTAGGATTGAGAGGAAGTGATAACTCACTACACTTACACTCCCTCCTTACCAACGGACAACCAAACTTGAGAAACAGCATCAATAAAGTCACTAGACAGAAACTTTGTTCTGATGAATAATTTTCTTGTTGAACATTCAACTCAAACAATTCTAGTTATCGTCAATTTCCAGATTCAGATTGATTCCATAAACTCGATATGAAGCTCAAATTTTAACTAATTCGATGCTACCTTCCTCACACCAATGAATATTTGGTTTGCTCAAATAACCACTGATCATTTTGCTCCAGAAACCTCACATTCTGTCTACTAACCAACACAGAATCAACACATTTTTGATTCATATAATGAAATGAATAAAATTTATTGTTATATCATGTCTCACAGTTTCATTCCTTGGAAAATATCATGATAGAAAGAAAAGATTATCTACTAATCTGACTTCCATAGCTTGAAGAAAAATACGGGTCAGATATTCCATATATTGTTTTAACACTCACACACCCTCTCCTAACAAAAAAACATATAATTGCTCAAAAAGTGACATTATTTATTTATTTATTCTATCAATTTATCGAACAAATAACTTACAGACAGAATAGGATCTGGTATAAGTAAGTACATAATTATATACCTATAGGTAAACATTTCATTATTCAAAATTTAACAACAACTATAAATTAGCAAACAAAGAATAATATTTGTAGGAAGAACATAGTAGAATGGCATGATTAATTTCATCCAGTTCACTCAGAAATAATCAGTTTCTTTACTTCATTGCCGAATGTACCTATTTTTCGGCAATTTTTCATATTGCCAGGTAGTTCATTGAATTCAGTTAGGGCTGAATGAGTGAATCTTTTTCGTCCGACTATGGAGCCAGCGGCGTCAAGATGAAACAAGTTTTATTGTCTAGTTTCATGATGATGAATTTCAGAATTCCGTATCAAAATAATATCCGACATGTGTATGAGTATCGACTAGCCTGACTGTTTATGGATCAGAAGCGTCTTCCAATCTCTCATCGCTTAGAAATAATTCCAAATATCAATAATTGCTCTAGAACCCTCACAGCATATCTACTAACAGGAAATTCCATATACATTTTTCGTCTAGTCATCAAATAAAGAATGTTCATCCATTTCAGAGGGATCCACAAGTCTCGAACTCGACGGTAACATGTATGTGGGTGGTTTGGGGCCTCCCTTCTCGGAGATTCCGGTGCCTGGAGGACTCTGGACCGCCGTCCTCCAGCAAGGCTACGTCGGTTGCTTCAAGGACCTCGTTATGAACAATGAGGCGGTTGATGTTGCTACTTTCGCTCGAGAGCAGGATTCTGGTGAGTCTTTTATAATTATGGAAATCTCCGCGGAATAACGCCTAGAGAGATATCTTCAAATTGAAGTAATGTCACAACATTTTGTAAACAAAGTAGCATCATTGGGTACTGGATGGAGGAAATCGTTTCTTCATCATGGATGCAGTTTTATATTCTGAAATATTGATTCAGTTATGTGGAGTATTTTTATTTCGATAAATTCGTCAACATCAGTATGTTTTATTGTATTCTGTATCTCGGTGATTACATAACGGTGATTCATCGTAGAAACTAGCAACTAGGTTTTCGAAGGACCAACTTGGTGTTTATTTCAAATCGACTAGAATGAACTTTATCAAAGATACCTATTCTGTGGTTATTGATTTTATATTTCACATTCCACTTCAAGTACAAATCATCGGACATCGTTATTTCTGTGAATTCATGTCACCAAGCATTTTCTCTGGTCAATCCATTCCCGACGTCAGTAAATCACTGAAAGCAGTAAAAATGAATTATACCACGTTCTCAAGTGGAAATATAGAGAAACTTGGGGAGCCGATGTTAGAAAACAGGACTCTCCATTAGTTCAAGAGTGAACGAAGGAAATTTATAGATTCATTTCGGCAACTACTACATCTTGTTCTTAGCGGTGTCCAACTTAGCTAATAATACTATTTCAAAGAGAATTAACTACAATTCTTAGATGAGCAGATGGTTCATTTGAAGATTGTCACTACAAAAAATGATTATTCAACATCGTTTGCATTATTATTATCATCATTGAATCAATGATTATATTGATGATACACAAATGTAATGGATAATGGACGAGTGATGTGAACAGTAATAATGGCCAAGTTTACTAGGACATTAAGCTTTCAAAGAAACATGGAATCAATATAGTGCTCCAATAAATAATTCATTTGGGTTTGACATGGTTAATGTTTGCTGGGAAATCATTAGCTTATGTGCAAGAGTATATAGCATGAACATATATTGGTATATATGTATGTATATATTACGTCGAAGTTTATATTGGTTTGTTCATGTACGTGAACATCCAACCTCTCATTCATACGGTATGTTCAAATTAGATGTAAATTGATTGCTTATTCAACTACCTACATTTCTCAATACACTGAGTGCACTACTACGAATTCAACTCTATTTCGGAATCCTGTATTTTCTGAAAGAATTGATTGTGATGTGGTTTTTGATATCAGATGTGATATTTTATCGACTTCGAGGAGAGTTACGATAATGAGAGAATGAAACTTACAGGGTGAAAAGTTGAACTATTTTTTATTTTTTTATAGATATCAGTCGAATTACGATCAATTGGGATTTTATCTCAGGATGTTGTTATAATTTCTCCCCAGTGATTTGAAATTGTATGTGAAATTTTTTTTAAAGATATATTCTCAGATATACAAGATGCTATTCAAGTATGTGGCCAAACTAGTGGTGATTTTTTTCAGTGATTCTAAGACGGAAAGTTCATATGACCATAGCTCCAAAAATTATTTTGTTTTCAAGATACACAGTGTCAAACTGTTTTTGAAAATAAGGTTTCTCTTCAATCTAGTAATGCCTCAATTTGAACCTACAAATAACACTGCAATATTTCAACAAAATTGGATTGGAGATTTTCACGATATTTACGAAGAAGCGATTTTTTTCAAATCTTTGACACCCTATGTGCCTTGAAAACTCTTCGACTTGGAATCATTCGATAAACCAACTCTCGAAACTTGGCCACATACTCAAATAACATCCTGTATTATGATCATAAAAAATTGATACATATTATAAGGAAATACATTGAGAATTCTCAATCTCTATCTAATAAAAATTTGAATATGAGTCATGTAATTCTTGATGATCGAAAAGTCAATCTCAGTTGTTGGATACAAATATCGACAACGTAATAACGATCCAACAAATATTTATTCTGAACTTTTCTAATCATGAGCTCTAGGTATATGAAGGTTTTGAATTATCATCATCATCGATATTTCCAATACCTTTTATTGTTCTTTGGCATTATCATTTATTACTTCATTGGTAATTCGTTTCGTGAATTTCATAATCCAGAATTATAGTAATAACCCTAATAGTGAGTCGGCTTGCGTGTTCAATATCGCTCATTTTACTGCTATGTAACGTAATGGACTAAATATCAATAATATGGCGATTTCAGGCCTCATAATGCATTATTCTAAGAAATTTCCGGTGAATGGCATGCAAGAGAACGATCGGTATTCCATTCAATTTCCAGAAAAAATATGACATGGAAATTTGCGACTCGTTGGAAGCCACCTGAAATAACAATTTTTTGTTGGCCTCAGCATTGTTCTCATCCCAATTTACTTGGAAACTCATTCATGTGAAAATAATCAACTCATGAAAATGATCACATATTTCACTTCACTTTACTTTTACTCCACTCCATTTCACATAAACTGACCGATCATCTGCATTTTCAACCCTTACTTGGAAATTTTGGAAAATGAGTTCAAAAATAAGTTCATATTCCATTTCTTCGAGACAGATACCCTTCATTGATATCATTTATTCCTCAAATGCATTTCATTATTCCCGTATTAGCTGATGTTATTTTTTTTTAACTACAGCGACTATCATAAACCAAACCTTCAGGTAGGTGCGTGGCGTAGTTGCTTGAGCAATTGAGCTCCACGCCGGCGACCCAGGTTCAATGCCTGCGACGGACGGTTTTTTTATTCTGTTTTCTTCAGTGATTATCCGAAAAATATTCTTTCTAGGAAGAAGCTGTTCATGTAGTCCGAGTAAGGTTAGTAGTTTCCTTCCTTAACCAGAAGGGATATTTTCCTTTATCCCTGAAAAAAGTACTGTGTTGGAGGTATTTACTGTTGAGGCCGATAGGGATTCGCTATTTCAATGGTGTTTATTTTTAGGAGCTTCGCTCACGGCAACAAGTTCTCTATAGACTTGATTATGCGCCAATTAAGGATGAGGTTGAGGTGATCAGTACCCGCAATCCTATGCTGTAGCATTCCTCCACCGCGATGATTATTATTTTCCTCCTGTCTGTAGACGCTGGTCTTCTTTCCAGGGTCGATCAGAACTCTGTGCCACACCGAACCTCAGCAGTGCCCCTCGTACACTTCTTTCCACTAGCGCCTACAGACAGGAGTAAAAAAATAATCATTGCGGTGGAAGAGCGACAGCACAACTATAGCGACTATCATATCATGAACCAAACTTTCAAGTAGGTGCGTGGCGTAGTTGCTTGAGCAATTGAGCTCCACGCCGACGACCCGGGTTCAATGCCTGCGACGGGTGGTTTTTTTCATTCTGTTTAGGAAAAGGGTTCATTTAGGCCGAGTGAGGTTAATTGTTTAAGAAAAAGGCACCTTTCTTAAGCAGAAGTGATATTTTCCTTCCTGCCTGAAAAAAGTACCGATGAGGCCGATAGGGTTTCGCAATTTCAATGGTGTTTTCTTAAGAGCGATGATTATTATTTTCCTTCTGTCTCTAGACGCTAGTTTTCTTTCCAGGGTCGATCAGAACTCTGTGCCACACCCAACCTCAGCAGTGCCCCTCGCAACCGTGTCTCAACGGAGGCACCTGCACCGAGGGCTGGAACAGGTTCGTCTGCGACTGCACCGGAACCCTTCACAGCGGTCCTACCTGCGGAAAAGAAGCTCCCACGCTCAGCTTCAACGGCACTCAGCACATGCAAGTCACCATGGACGCCGAGCAGGTTACTCAGACGGAGGATGTGGTGCTGAGGTTCCGGTGAGTTGAATTTTTCTAATGGTTTGCCGTGTGACAAGTAGATGAAAAATCGGGAAGAATAGTATATTGTTTTATTAGAATCAAACGTGACACTTTGTTTGCCGAGCGAATTTTGCATTTGCGAGGCGGAGCAAAATTTGCGAGTCAAACAAAGTCACTTTTGATCCGAATGAAATCTATTATTTTGTCTGCAACCGAAAGAATTAACTAAAATGAATATGTGTAACCACCAATGCCGTGCCATATGTATGCAATACAACAAATAATCCGTGTGGTGAGAATCTTCTACCTGCATTAACAGATCAGATTTATTAAATTTTCAAGGATGTTTGAACTGTAGTTCCGATATAAATACAACCACAGAGAGGCCCATTTGTGTATGGACCAGATGTCAGCCATAATAGCATATTCCGCGCCAGTGCCAGGTATAGGAAAAATACGTGGACATTTTAGGTTAATGAGCATATCAACTATAATGATATCGATTATTTATTTCTCTCCATACTCCAATGTGATTGGCTGGGTAATCAAATTAAGGTAAATAATATCGTTGTGTGGGACAAAAATAGTATTGCTGACCGTGATTATTCAAAAACAAGTTATCCATCCTGAGAATAACGAATGAAATACAGATCAAGCAAGTATGTGAATCTTGAAGGCTTTCCTGATCGAAACAAAAATACTTAACTGTAATATGGTGTATTTATATCTCCAGCATGAGTATGAAATGCCAAATCTGCTGAAATAGGAAACAAATCAGGTATGCATCCCAACCCAAATAACCATGGTTACTCTTGATGACCTCTAGTACATCATCCTTCATAGTTCCCAGGAGCTAAAGTTCAACTTCAACTCGTAGAAACTAGAAGTGTTGCCTAGCCACATACCTATGTTCGTGTCAGTAATAAAAACGTCAATTCAAGTGCTAATTTTGGTATAAAAATGGACGACTTTTCAGAAAAATGTATATAACATCCCATGCTCCCATAATTATTGATTCACACATGGAAAATAAATTTGAAAATCGAATCTATAGTGGTTGTACTGAATATATGGACAGGTTTGAAATATAGGTATGGGGAATAGTTACCCATCGAATACCCAGGTTGCACAGTGACCTAAGAAGACGTCCCAACCAGTTCCCAAAGAAGGCAAATAAAACCTAGCTAGCAACTACAGACCAATCGAACTGCTATCTATTATTTCAAAGATCATGGAGAAAGCTATCAACATCGAGCTCATGAAATATACCTGGAACATCCAGATATTATCAACGATAGGCAATATGGCTTCCGTCATCAGAGATCAACTGGTGACCTGCTCGCTTACGTCTCACATATATGGCAGGAATCTATTGAAAAATATGGTGAAACCTTTAGCCGTGGCACTTGATATCTCCAAGGCATTCGATCGAGTCTGGTACCACGGACTCCTCGCCAAGCTTCCATCTTAGGGCTTGCCTCCCCAGCTATGTTCTCTGCTAGCTAGTTTTCTCTCAAACAGGTCTCTCCATGTAGTGGTCGACGGAGTTTCATCTGATTATCTTATCATAAATTCTGGTGTTCCTCAAGGATCAATTCTAGCACCAACACTATTTCTACTCCATATCAACGATTCGTTGGAAGCAACTTCATGTCCAGTACACAGCTTTGCGGATGATAATACCCTCCATACCGCCTTCTCTTCCATGGCTTCAATACCAGCAAGGCAAATCAGCAAACAAAACACAAGCATGCCTTTTCTCTAGAAAAGCCGATCTCAATTTGGATAATAATGGTTCTTCCATGTCACTCACAAAAATATGACCAGAGGATTTGGAGAACAGCATTTTTTTTAGTTCTCCATCATTGAAAATTACAGTTGAAGTAGATAGTACTTTCTTCATTATGAAAATCCCTATAATAATTATAGGTTCTCTCACTTTCTGGATCTTTCAAAATGGTCATTTGGCTGGGAGAAACTTCTTGACTTCCAGATTTAGTGTCACGGTTGATATTTTTCCATTCCGTGTAGGTATGTTGTAACTGAAAGATTAGTTTTCACTCAGAAATAACTCAGACCAGGCCAAGGAAAGTGCGACCCGTTCAGGAAAATGGACATATTTTATTCAGCGAAACGTTGAGATATTCCACATTTAACATTTCGCTGAAAGTATATAGCGAGCTTTCCACCAAAAACGAGGCCCATAATGCAGATTGAAATCTCACAGACTGTATGCGTGGGTAAGAAGAAGAGGGTATTTATTTTTAATGAATGTGAAAATGCAGACAACCCCTGCTAGTTGAGAGGAATGTTGGTATTGAATAATTACGCAGTATCATCCGGGTGGAGTTCCAGATGTACTCTTACCTTTCAGACCTCATCCATCTAACACGAATCATATCCACATGATAAAAACATTCTAGAAAATCAAGGGAATAAAGATAGGTATAGATTCAAGATTCTCCACTACAAGACACTAAAGTATTGATATACGATATCACATTTCCCTCTAGAGAGATCATATAAAACAAATCGAAATGATTTTATTGAATAAAATAAGGAAATATCTGTTACTCACAGAATTGATGGACGTATGGTACAGGTTGTGCCGAATTATGGGCACTTTTGAAGGGAAAGTCCTTTTTCCATACTAGATAGAAAAAAACTGATGTTGGTGCCTGTTGATCAATTCAAGTGACAAACTCAATGGTGAAAACTGCATATCGATATCTATCTTCGTTTCAGAGTTAGAAGGTGTTTTTCGAAAATATAAATTTTCGAAAAGAGGTTGGAACTAATTTTTTTGTAAAAAATCTTTCGTTTCCATAAAAACATTTTCAAATCGTTGTGTTTGTCATGAGAATGTATCCTTAGGCACTGAAATCAGTCATCACCTACCTAGTTTCGAAATAGAACCTAGAACCTCTCCTTCAAGAGGAACAAATTATATTCTTGAACGAGATATATAGGTAGGCAGATTTCAGTGCCTCAGGAATGCGTGTTATCACAAAATCAATGCTTCACAGTTATTTTTATTAGAACATACAATTTTTACCAAAAAAAAATATTTGTAAAATGCCCATTTTTGAGAAACACCTTGTAACTCCGAGAAAGTCGACGTCATTTGATCCTCACAGAGTTGAAAGAAGTATATTCTAGGAAGGATCAATTTTCGAATTCACGAATCCCTAATATCTCATATACATCCATAAATTCCATAAAATAACCATATTTTCTCAATGGCGAATCTCTTTCACGGGACGAACAATCCCCTCGGATTGCTTCTGATCGCTAGCACCGTACAGAAAGAAAACAGTATGGGTAGTTCTACATTTGAATTATTGCAACCCTCTTCGAAGTTTCAAGATTTACCACTTATATTCTGAATCTAGAAAACAATGTTCAACCTTTCAGACCTCATCTATAGGATTTCAACAAATTAAGGAACAATTAAAAAAAAATTAGATTTCTCACTGCATAACAATAAAGTATCCGTTATAAAAATTCCATTCGGATTGATAGAAAATTTATAGTAGGAGACACTGGAAGATCTTATTTCAGAAGGGATCATTATTCGAGAATGTTCTTTTACGATCCACGATATCTCGTCCAGTAATAATAATAATAGTGTTCATTCAAATTCAAGTATTTCGTAGTATAAGTTCAGGAAAAAAATGTTTGGATAAATGAAGATGGATCACAGGAGTAGTACTTGTGTATGTGATTTCCATGCATAGTAAAATCAAAATTATCATTAAAAATGATAAAAACTGTTGAAATAGGTAGAAACCAGTGCATCAAAGAGACCCTACAGAGACATCAAGATACAAAATTTCCAGTAAACACCTCACTGGAATGCATCACCAACATAGGAGAAATACCATAAATAGTTATTTATTATACAAGGGCAAAAAGTAGTAGATTTTAGCTCCAGGTTGTGTTGTCTCCCAACGCGTTGCGGAGGGAGACAAAAAACCGTGAGCTAAAATCTAATATTTCCGTGTATAATACACAATTTTTTTCTGTGACAGAAGAAAGGACGAATCAATATTGAGAAGATATGACATTATTTTGAAATCTGAAAATTATCGACGTGAAATTTTAAGTTTTTAACAGTAGGGACACCTGCGTTGTAGGCATTTTTATCATTCTTTTGAAGTAATCAAATATCTGATGTCACTTCTGTCAGTCTAATTCTGTGATTTGATTCAAACAAACTGCGAATTTAGTGGTTGTTCAGCAATATACGTAACCGCGAAATCGAATGGTAGATGAAAGGACTTGCAGTTCTTTCTCGGGGACGGTATTATTGACTCATTTTTCGGAACTATAGCACAACAAAAGCCATCAACAGTGTATATATATGTGATATATATCCGGGAAAAAAGTACTCACTTTTTTTCCACGGAAAAAAAGTAATTCATGAAAAGTGACATTTTATAACCTGCCAACAGAGATGAAATGCCAAACTTTTTTCCCGTCACAGAAAAAATTATTTTTTTAACACGTTCCTTTTTTTCACCTTCATCAAACAATGATTCAACTATTTTTTTTCACCACTAGATGCAGAACTCACCATTATTTACTCTTGCAGAAAAAATAAATCCTCAAATTCCATGAAATAACCGCAACTTCCTCAATGGCAAATCTTTTGACAGGACGAGCAAACCGCTCGGATTGCTCCTGATCACTAGCACGGCAGAGACGGGAGACAGGATCGAGCTGGCTGTGGCGGCTGGCAGGATTCGCCTGGCGCTCAGGATGGGAGTGAGAGAGAAGAAGAAGGAGGACCGGGAGAAAGACAAGGTGACATTCATTATTCATATTAGATAAGTCATGGAAACCATCTATACAGGACGATTCATTAAGAATTGAACATCTCTGAACTACAGAGAGGAGACACAAAAATAATGAGATTTAGCCCAATATGCCTGATGAGAATGTTGCTGGTTTAGGAGATACAGGGTGTTCTAGGGGGAGATTTTATTTCAAAATTTCAAAATAACTTCGTTAGTTTTTACAGCATGAATATGAACTCTTGTATCTCTAGGTTTTCTGACATAAGGAATATGAATTTGCAACTTATTTTGTGATTGCTCATAGAGGGCACCAGTGGCACTCTGTCACTTCGATAATTTACATATCTTCTATGCCAATTCATTGATGATCAAAATGAGTGGAGAATCTGAAAGCACGTTCAATTTCACATGAAAAATGTACTCTTTATCAAATTGAGAATTGGAAATCCCTGAGCTACAGATATAGTAAACACCCGAATATGAAGATTTAGCCCCACATGCCTCATGAAACATTGCAGGTTTAAGAGATACAGGGTGGTTAAGGAGGATATTTTATTTCAAAATTTCAAGGGATGATTCCTTGTGATATTCAAGCAAATAAACTTGCTCTGTTTTTGAGATACAGGATGTTGAAGTTCGAAGTATCAATTGTTTTTATTCATAACCCCCCTGTATAAGCTTCCATGGTGCCAAAATTTAGTATGGTTGGAGACTGAGAAAACTCCAAAATTTCAAAATAATTGTAATTGGGGTTATTGAGTAATCTCAATGTAATAAAAAAACGATCTTTCATGGAAATATAAATACCCTATATCTCGAAAACGAAGCAAGATAGGACACATGTTCATATGAACTTTATTCCCTAAAGTTTCACAAGGAATTACTCCTCTTTCGGTGTTATATAGATGCACCCTGTATAATCGAAAGTTTCATCGAATTTTATGAAAAATTGACCAAGTTGAATGATTACACAGAAATATAATTATTCCCGATTTTTTGGGATTTTCTCTCCTCATTTCTCTAATAGTCCAATAAATGAAGGAGGAAAAAAAGGCAAAGTTAACGTTAATTACGCACTATTTTCATCTTGTCGTCTGCTACAAACCATGCGGCCACGCAGGGTATGATAGAAGCAGAATTCATCTTCCACATGAACTTTGAATCATGAGAAAATATGCATTTTCAACAAAGTTATTGAATAATTTGTCCCCCCGCCGATGTGTAAATACACGGACTGTGCTCTCCGGCATACAACACAGAAGCTCATTATTCGAGGTGCGCTTCGTGCCGTTTTTCTCGAAACCGGGCAGATTTTCGAGAAAAATGATGAGGATCATTTTTGTAGAAAATTAACTGAACTTCAATTTTTATCTGAACCGAAAATCTCTAACTGCCATATTTTAGGAGATATTGGCTGAAAACCTATTTTTCTGGTCTTTTGGGGCCATTTTCTCCGCCATCGCACGCGTTTTCCAGTCTCATGTTTAATGAGGTACCAAAAGCTACTTCCAACCGGAAGATGAAAATAGTGCGTAATTAATGTTAACTTTTTCCCTTTATTTATTGGACTATAAAAAAAAATATGAATATTATTTCAATATACGTGTAGTAAGGACAAATCAGATGATTTGCCCCAAAATGTCACTGCGTTTAAAGAATATTCCTATCGGAGAGCCTAAAAAAAAAATTCACTAGCTTGTCAGTGACAATTTGTATTGAAGAAGGTTTGGAGAAGAGGAATAAAGGTATATAGAAAAAATATCGAATTTTCACTTAGCTTTATTTCTCTCCTCCAAACCTTTTTCAATACAAATTTTCACTGACAAGCTAGTTAATGTTTCTTTTAAGCTCTCTGATAGGAAAATTCTTCAAACGCAGTGACATTTTGGGGCAAATCATCTGATTTTTCTTTACTACACGTATATTGAAATAATATTCATATTTTTATTTTATAGAAACGAGGAGAGAAAATCCCAAAAAATCTGGAATAATGAATCTACCACGTCCCCGATTTAAAGACAGTACAAAAATATAAATTTTCAACTCGCCTATTCCTCGAAACACAGTTTCAGTAAGATATCCCACTTTAGCAATATTTCGATGATATCATGGATTTCACGAAAATCTGTCCTCGTATAAATCAAGTCGTGACCTCGACTCACAACTTCCGGTTCTGTTCCCAGATATTACTGGCAGGGCAGAACGTGAACGACAACGAATTCCACACGATCAGATTATCGAGGAGAGGGTCCAATTTGAAGCTGCAGCTGGATAGCCAATCTCCGATAAGAGGTGGGTAATAGCTGTACGTTATATCGGTAATTCCTTCCGAGGAAATCGATGTCGAGTACATCCTAGAAATCCTGCTATTAGAGCTGCGGTCCTGCCTAAATGAAAAGAGATTATCTGTCGAACGTGTGCGGATTTGAGGGCCGATATACAAGGTGTCCCAGAGCAGCGTACCATAAATTGTACAGGATAAATTAGAGACCAAAATAGGCCGATTGAAGCACCAATCAAGTTACCTCTATATACAGGGTTTCCGTTTTTCGAGCTCCACCAAGGGGATCTCAGTTATTATAAGAGATACGAGGTCGGTTTAATCATGGCAAAGTCGCGAATTTTCATGCTGAACACTTATCTGCAAGATAATTTGATGTGTCATTTTCAGTTTTTGAATTATTTCAAGAAAACGAAAATTTGTAGTTTTTGTTTTTAGTTTTTCAAGCGGAAACCAAAGGACCTAGACGTTTCTGAATAGGACTTTTTCAAGGCACTTTTTCACATCAAGGAATCTGAATCTGTCATCGTATTTTCCATGGCGTTCTTATTGCTGAAGTTACAACACTCAACTTTGTTTTTTCTCATAGGCAAAATATTGGATTTTAGCATGTTTGGAAAGTCTGTTTTTTTTCTGATAACAATGATGTATCACACGATATGATCGAATCTTTCCTGTTGATCAAAATTGGGACAAAACAAGAGTTTTGTTTAACAATCTGAATTTTGACAGTTCAATCGAATATGCGACTACAGTTTTTTTATAATTCCTCTTGGTTTTCTAGATATCTAACATAATTAATGTTGGTGCTTCTCCATACTTGTTTATAATGTCAAGACTACCTTTTATATCTCTCTACCTCATTTGTGTTGAAAAATATAAGAAAATATTGAATATAATATAAATGACATGCCTTCGATTCTCTGACCAGAAGGTATTCCCAGCGCTCCCGCCATTTCATTCATCAAATCGTGCTTGGCGTTTAAAAATGCCAGCATAGATTAGAACTTTAAGATATCAGTTTGATTTCGTATGAATACGATCGAGGAAGCATCCATTGTTGAATTGGATTCTTTTTCTATTTGATATTCCTGCGGAGAGAATTATACGTCCATACTTGTTCATAATGTCAGGATAACCTTTCATATTTTTCTACCTCATTTGTGTTGAAAAATATATGAAAATATTGAATATAATATAAATGACATGCCTTCGGTTCTCTGACAAGAAGATGTTCCTAGCGCTTCCGCCATTTCATTCATTAAATCGTTCTTGGCGTTTAGAAATGTCAGCATAGATTTCTCAATGAATCATGAATAAATGGCGGTGAATAGTGTTATGTAATACCAACAAACAAGCATTGAGATGAGCACTTTAGAATGGCAGTTTGATTTCGTATGAATACGATCGAGGAAGCATGATGCGGAGAGAATTAATTATACATAATTGAATTGTCATTTGGACACGTCTATTACATTCTCGAACTGTTTGTTGTTTATGCTGTTTTGAAAAATTCGGATAGCTCATTGTTTGGATCACTCAATATCCTGATCAAACACGGCTATAAAGTATCATAGAAATGAGCTTTATAGTCTGGTTGGGTTTCCGAATTTAGCTGCGAGTAAAATCAATATTTTCGTTTGTCAATGCCTCTGTTGTTGTTTTCACAAATAGGTATGTTCCTAGAAGCATCACACAAAGCGAAATATGTGCTGACAGTAGATTTTATGAATCGAGAAAATACTTTTTTTAACAGTTATGTTACTCTGTGTGAATACGTTTCATTATTGCGCAGCATGTTTACAAATTTCCAATGTGTTTGACTAACTGAGTGGACAATGAAAATATGGTGGCTCTTCAAGATACAACCACCATGATTTTGCAAGGTTCAGTACACAAATAATACCCATATCAATTGTTCAACAGAGCATCCGAGCTATGAGCCAAACTAATATACTATGCAGGGTTAGACAACTTTCAATAAAAAACAGTAATCTCTGGAACCGTTAATCAATGTTCCATGGTGTGGAATCACCAAACTATCAGAGGATAAATGATTGTTCAGGAATCTAGTAATGAAATTTAGTATTAGAAAATTGAAAGCCAGAGGGATCTTGATCGAAAAAGTTGAAATCAAGTGAAATTACTTACTCGCCCAGGTATACATCAAGAGTTCGATGAAAAAATTGGAGGATTAATACGAAATTGCGTTTTCTTGTGTCATATAAATTGTGATATTAATGATCATCTTCCTCCTTTTTTTCAGCTGAAATTCAAGGTAAACACACTTCTTTGCAATGGCGTACCATACATCTGGGTGGACTCTATCATCTAGAAGAAGAAATCAGCATGTCAACGACAGTGCCTAATTTTGTCGGTGATATCCAGCAGTTTTACTTCAACAATATCCCGTACATAGAATTGGCGAAGGCGTTAGGCACCGAACATTCAATCGCCGGTTTTCCCATAATCAAAGTGAGTTCACATTGTTACGAAGTGTCTGATTAACTTTTTCGTAGACTGAAAACATTCGGTGATGAACTTTCTACAGACCGGAAACAATATGCGAAACAATATCGATAGAAACTTGTAGAAGTATTTTGTTCAATTAGAAGGTGAAGATTAACTTGAGCCTTGAGCTTAACTCAGTTGTTGGCGTGTAACCGTCGAAGAACATTTTTTTCAACGACTGAGTCTGAGTGATACTACATACAATGTCCTCTCAAGGTCGCAGCAAAATTCGTCAAACACGCCACCGACAATCTCCATCGGCCCGTGACGTTTCGGTCGAGGCACACCTTCATCGGTCTACCGATGTTGCGGGCCTACTCCAGCATCCACATCGACTTCATGTTCAGGACCAGGGAGGCGAACGGGCTGATCTTGTTCAACGGCGGAAAGAAAGAGGACTTCGTGGCAGTGGAGCTGGTCGAAGGCCACATCAATTATATCGTCAATGTTGGTGAGTGAATTCCGATTTTCGCTGGATTTTTACGGAAAGTATGGTGCAAAAGTATGAGACGAATACATAACTGGACTATTGTCGAAAATTTGTTGAAACCTTGTTGAAACATTATTGAACCAGAGTTGAAACATTGTTGAAATATTGTTGAAACATTGTTGAATTACTGTTGAAACTGTTGAAACCATGATGAAACGTTGTGATAACAGTATTGAAACATTTTTGAAACATTGCACAGTGCTGAAACATGATCGAAACACTGTTGAGACGTTGAAACATTGTTGAAACATTGTTGAAACATTGTTGAAACATTGTTGAAACATTGTTGAAACATTGTTGAAACATTGTTGAAACATTGTTGAAACATTGTTAAAACATTGTCAAAACATTGTTAATACATTGTTCATACATTGTTGAATTATTGTTGAAACATTGTCGAAACCATGATGAAACCTTGGGGTAACAGTATTGAACCATTGTCAAAATATGTCGTTTTTTTCTTGTAGGTGACGGTACCGTTACCCTGCGTGACACGGTGCGCACACACCTTAACGACAACCGCTGGCACACTGTCGGTATTCGGAGACCGTCCTCCAAGCAGCACACCCTCATGGTGGACGACGACATCGTCATAGCGACGGATTCGGGCGCAGGCAACCTGGAACTCGACGGCATCCTCTATCTAGGCGGCGTCTACAAGGACCTGTACGCGTTGTTGCCGCAGCAGGAGGTCAAGTCGCGGCACGGCTTCGAGGGTTGCATCGCCGGGTTGGACCTGAACGGGGAGTCCCCGAACATCATGGAGGACGCAGTGGTACACAGCTCGTTGGTCACAGCAGGATGCGAAAGTGAGTGTCGAATACATAACTGAGGCTTTGTTTTAACATTGTTGAAACATAATTGAAACCTCGTTGAAATCTCGTTGAAGAATTGTTGAAACATTGTTGAAACATTGTTGAAACATTGATGAAACATTGTTGAAATATAGCTGAAACATCGGTGAAACATTGTTGAAACAGTGTTCAAACATTGTTGAAACATTGTTGATACATTGTTCAACCATTTTTGAAACACTGTTAGGCCATTGATGAAACATCGTTGGAACATTATTGAAATATTGCTCAAACATCGTTAAAACATAGAGAATGCGAATCTTCAATGTATTTCTTTATATATATTTATATATATATCCATTTTTTATGTTGATAATTATGCCAATCAAGGGGTTCAAACTTGAACGATGGAAACTTGTTATTTGTATAGACCTTTTATCGTGATTAGATTTTTCGAATTCAGACTTTTTTCCTCGTCCTGTATGATGAATATTAATTTGTCATACATCCAAAAACATTCTCAAATATATGAAAATCTAATCATTTTATGATTATAATGTAGCAACTTTCTGGAAGTTGAAACAAATGCGTGATAAAAGTAATATCCAGCACTTGGTACAACATTTTCAAACCAATTCGAAACATATTATTTCATACATGTTGAAATGAATCATCTAAAATTCAATGATATGAACAACAATGATACTCCTCACGTCGTTCGATGGTAGTAATGTGATCAGCAAATTGCGTATTGATTTCGAATAAAAATAATAAAACAAAGTCAATTATTTTCAAATGAGCCTAGTGGATTTGTTCATAATACTCTTCCACCGTTCTGCATCCCAATTAACTTTATGCTAGATATCAATTAATATTATGACCGAAACACGTGTAGGGAATCCTATTATCATTACTACAGAACGTTCCATATTCATTTAATTAATTGAGGTATAATTGAACCCGATTCAATGAATTGCCATATCGGCTCCATTATTATTTCATTTTCATCGTTGGGATTACGTTGGTGTTAGTTCAGCGGTCCACAAAGAACGACTATGATGATGGAATTGTTTCACAATATGATTGACTATTTCCACGTCTGATATTCAGAAAGATAATTTGACGAATCAACCTGTAGTAGTTCACAACGTTGGAAATTATCGGGACTTATTTGAATTCGTTTTTTAGGTCAATCGGCAAAATGTAGTCATAATGTTTGTGCAAATGCAGGAATATGCGTCCAACAATGGAATTCGTACACTTGCGACTGCGATATGACTACTTTCACAGGACCAACTTGTTCAGACGGTTAGTATCATCATCAGCATTTCTTCATCTATGAAACATTTGGGATTTGTCAGATATACTGCTATGTAATATTAATGAAACGTGCTAATCTTTGTCTTCTGATATTGAATGAATGTATTAGGAACATTTTTCGTAACATCGTCAGAACATTATCGATATATCAAAATACATATTGGAACATAGTCAATAAACAGACCTATCTATCAATGATATATGTAAATAACATGTATAGATTGCATATAACGAAGTTGCATATCGATATTCCTTCAATTATTCTCTCATTCATGTTACTTACAATGCTTTTGAGACGATAAGGCGATTTTCAATTACATTTTTTGTAGAATCTGTGTCTTATGAATTCGGTCCGAATAGAGGGATAATCACCTATACATATCCAGAAGACAACAGACCCGAAATGCAAGAAGACTCTATTGCCGTAGGTCTCATCACGACGAAATCTGAAGGAGTTTTGTTAAGAATAGTCAGTGGCACCTCGAACGACTATATCGAAATGTATATTGTAAGTTGTTTCAAAAACATCATAAAATTTATGAGTGTCTGGCAACATCGCGTCTTCACCTTGGTGACGTCGTGAATACCGCTGGCGGGTGATTTGAATCTCGGGCAATGGTGTTTCATTTTTTAGGTCGAAGGAAATGTTTTTGTGGTCTACAATCTGGGCACTAACGACCTACTGCTAGGGGAAATTTCAGTGAAAGTCAACGATAACGCATATCATGTAGTCAAGTATCATAGACACGGCCACAATGCGACTCTACAAGTCGACGATTATAATGTTCAAACGTATCATCCCTCAGGTAATATCATCAATATTTTCTTCTTGACTTTTTTCTTGTTCTCAATAGCGAAATATCATATCGATATCTTCTACTTTCTGCGCTTCTTTTAGGTCACCAACTGCAAGTGTTCAATAGCCAATCGCAAATACAGGTCGGAGGTAAATGGAACAAGAAAAGTAGAATTGAGCGTCCATTTTCCGGTGTCATATCAGGCGTGGTGGTCAACGGGTTGAGAATCCTGGACCTAGCTGCAGAAAAAGACGTACACGCCTCCATCAGAGGAGACGTACAGTTGATTTCCGGTATACTCGACAGACAAGATCATCTCCAAAAGATGCAACAGGTGAGTTCACAGTCAAATCTCTGCTTACCTATCTCTCTCTCTCTCTCTCAACAAATATAACATACATGTAACATACACGTATCCTACATGTAAAGTCCACGTTAAGGAATCATCATAAAACTCGTCCTCATCATTCCCAGACCCCCGCTTCCGGCTTCCCGGGCCTAGAGGACGACCTCGTCTTCAGCGGCGCAGGCTCCGGTTGCAACGACGGTGACGACGAAGACGAGTGCCCGCCGCTGCCTCCGGAGGCGGGCAGCGGCGGCGACGACGACGACGACCTCGTCACGCCCGTGTACATCCCACCTACGCGGCCGCCGCCCACCAAGCGACCGCCAAAGGGGGGCGAACAGCGAGGAGGGAAGCCGTGCGACGACGAGGATTGTGTGCCAGAAGGGAGCGGCAGCGGAGAGGTCACCGAGGAGGCCACCGTGAAGAATACTGGTAGGCGACATATTTGAAACATAATTGCAACATATCTGAATCATAATTGGAACATATCTGAAACATATCTAAAACATAACTGAAACATAACTGAAACATATCAGAAACATATGAAACTAATGAAAAATATGTTGCTACTATTCCCAACTCTACGGTAATGTCCCTGACAGCATAACAGCCTGATGCAAGTTTTTTAGTGAGATATTGTATGTGTTCATCAAACTTCAGGGTATTATCAATCCATAATCCCAAGAATTTGGTGGATGTCTTGTTTTCGATGACATGATTCTGAAGACTTAGGTTCCCAGAAACGAATTTGAATGAGATTACGTTAGTCTTATTCACATTGAAACATAAATAATTGGAATCACACCAAGATTTGACTCTCTCTGAATCAACTTCAATTATATTTTTCAAGGAGTTCATGTCATTTCCGTGCCATAGTAGGGTTGTATCATCTGCAAACATTGTGAACTTTCCTTGTATGTCGATATCAGATAGGTCATTCACATAGAGAAGGAACAAAATGGGACCAAGCACTGACCCTTGTGGAACTCCACAAGTAATTTTCGAGACACTAGAACTTTCATTCGGTAGCTTCACCATTTGACTCCTGTCCGATAAATAAGTTTGGAACCACTTGAGGGTTGTTCCTTTGAAACCATAAGTGAATTATTTTTGAAACGCAATCAAAGGCCTTGGAGAAGTCACAGAATACTGCTGCAGGCACTTTACCTATATTCAGCCCCACATATAATAACTCTTTCAGGAAGTCAAATATGGCATCATTCGTATTCTTGGAACTTTGAGAACCAAACTGTGAGCCACTCAGTATATTGTGCCTCTCCAGGAATGTGAGTAATCTCCTTTTCACAAGCTTTTCTATCACCTTTGACAAGGTTGATATCAACGAAATCGGTCTAAAATTGGATGGTTCATCAAGTTCACCTCCCTTATGTTTTGGAACCACTACAGCGATTTTCAGCACATCTGGGAACATATACATATCTGAAACATATCTGAAACATATCTGAAACATATCTGAAACATATTTGAAGCATATTCCAGTCACGTTATTCCAACATAATTCCCGTATGAAACCAAGAATAACAAAGGTTTACAATATTGCAGATCTGACCGAACCGAGTGCGACGTTCTTCGACACTACTTCCCTCAAACCTCCCGAGCAAACCACCCTTCAAACCTTCGCCCCGCCACGCACCACCCCTTCCTCTCCTCTTGCCAACCTCACCACTGAATCGACGAGGGCTGCTACCACGACCCAGCTCACACCTCCCGCATCGTCTCCTGCTCCTTCTTCCTCCTTCTTCGAAGAGGAGACCACGGTCGTCGTATCCACGACGGTGACAGAGAAACCGCCCCAGCGTCCGATCGTTCCGGTCGCGCTGCCGCCCCCTGAGCTGTATCCGACTAATAACGTGTTCAGGCCGCCGTCGACGAAGAAGCCCGAACGAGTGAGCTCGGAGACGTCCGAGGTGGTCGCTCTTATTATCGGTGAGTGTTCGTTGTGAGGATTCGTTTTGCCCATACATTCGTGCAGCCGGTCCGTTAGACCAAATTCTTCCTTTTCTCTCTCAAATTTCGATTCTTACAAAAAATTTTATGTTTCGAAAGTTCATATTATCATCTGATACATATTTCAATCATAAATGCACTGAGAAAAGAGTTATATAGCCATTCTAAACCATAATAAGAAGTGCATTGGGTAGCGCCCTGCTATTTTAAAAAGCTGTCGGTATTCTGGTTTCGCATTTCAAACAGCCCTTGGCAAACAAGTTCTGAATTGATGCGTTCAAAAATGTTCATACATTTTGAAAAATTTTTTTTTCTCAACTTCACCACCCTGTATCTCGGAAATGGAGCGATTTCGGACTGACGTAAGTTGCTTCAAATCGGCCCAGGAATATGTAATGAAATTTTGTACAGACCATCTGAGACACCCTGTGTAGGTATGTTTATCCATTGCATTTAGATAATATCATGAGTCATCGAATTCGGCCATAAAAAAATAGGCAAGTCGGCTGACCCATAAAATAGGTATAACAGAAATACGGTAGTCTATCGGAGAATCGGATGTTTTTCCTTGTTCATCGTTTGTATTTATCTGTTATGATGATAATTATTAATGAAATATTCCTATTCGAAAGTTCACTGCAAATTGATTCCGTACACACATCATTTCAAGAAAGGTGTAGTAGCTCATTTAGTTCGAGTTGTAACAGGAGGACCGGGGTTCGCATCCCCTGGAAGTCGTTTTTTTTTTTCATTTGAATGTATCGGCAAACATGTACTGGCCCTGATGACGGCCAGAGTCTCCTATTGGTACTTGCCCATCAATGAATACAGGTATTTTGCCGTTCTGGCCAATTCTGGTCTGCAAATTCCAGGACTGCATAAGGCCGACCAAAATGGGGAAGTTTTCTATATTGAGATCAAATTTCACTCCAGAAAAAAAATTGAAAGAGGAACATGGCACCTCCACCATTCCTATGACGTACTTTCTGAAAATCCACATTCACACAGAGTTAAAATACGATTCCCTGTGCCAGTACGACGTTGCCGACATCATCGATATGTCTAGATTTCCGGAAATTGTTCTTTGAATGCATAATAACTATATCATAACAGCAGTGAGATCTATAATAGGTTCTTCAATCCTACTTTGTCAAGTATTGTGAATAATTCTCATAAATCTCTCATCTTCTGAGTGAAGTTGATTACTGATGAAGATAAATTATGATATTTTGCGATAGTATCTATAATTTTTCACTATCGTTATAATACAATATGTTATTCATAACTTGATTCATTGATTCAATGATATATTGAAAATTCATCTGAAGGAAATTTCCCCATTGTTTAATTGGATCCTATACATATTGCGAAAGTATTAAGTGCTAAATTTAGTACAAAAATTGATCAGCAGTTTAGATTCACATTACTCATTCAGGTATCATCGCTGGCGCCCTGATAGCAATAATCCTCATCATCCTGGTGATCCTCAAGTTCAAGTCGCGCAGCGACAGGTCCTTCAAGATCGACGACTCCAAGTCCTTCCAGCAGGGCCCCAATGCCGCCCTTTTGGGGAGCGTTTCGGAGGGCGGCACCAACGGCCAGTACCAGCTGAACGGCGCGCTCAGGAACGGGGACAAGGGGGGCGGCGCACATGCGCAGAAGTCCAAGAAGAGGGACAGCAAGGACATCAAAGAGTGGTACGTGTAAGTGGCGTTCGGGACTCGGTTGGGGTGTTTGCAGGACTTACCAGGGCGTCGAGGACTCAAATAGGATTTTAAATGCCTTGAAACAGTATATTTTCGAAGAACGAGGCCTCAAAGTGTCAGTGTTAAGGTTTTGCAGGACGCCAAGGGCTCGAGTAGGCCTGAGAGAATTTGAAGTTCTTGCTCGATCTCAATGATTATAATGAATAACACTTTCGAGATCTCAAATATCTTACATTCCTGACTTTAGTAAACCCTAGTGAATCCTCAAAACGACAGTAATGAGGTTTTGCGTCATCTGAATCCTCAAAGCATTAGTTTGATGAGCTCACAGGGCCACTTCTGAGAACTTAGAAAAATATTTTGGGGAACTCACAGTATGAATAAACATTTATGAGAACTTGGGTTCACATTGCTGAGGACTCACTGGTCATAAATACTTGGATACGCCACAAATGGAGGTGTTTTGAAGGACTTGCTTGGCATAAATGACTCCAATGCAAATTGTAGATTTCTCTACTTCCAGTTTTGAAGAACTTGCTTGATGTTAAAGAGAGGATTGAATACTATTGAGATCTCGAAGCAACATTTTTGAGGTCTTGCATTTTCGGAGCGTTATGAACTTGCATGGATACTCTTATTCATGAGTACTTGAACAGATAGTTCTGAGGAATTATGGAAGGAAGGATTATGAAGGACTTCAACTACAAATTGCTACTTCGAGTACCTACTCGAATAGACCCTTTGAGACTTCAAATCGACAGTTTTCAGGACTTGTGGACGTTAGAGGTACTCAAAACTATGGTTTGTAGAGTTTTTAGCCACATTTGAAACTGATACTCCAAAGGAACTGTGAAGTACTCATCTCAACAGTTTCAACGATTTATGGGCACTGAATGTCTGAGGTTTGAACTGACATTTATAAGGACTTTCTGGTGTAATAAAAAAACTTGAGACTACAAATGGGATATTCTTCATGATATTCTGGACTTCATGGATTCAAATAGGCATCTTTGAGATCTCAAATTGACTCTTCTGTGGTTAAGGACTTCAATGGACACTTTGAGTACTCAAGCAGACAGTCATTTTGAAGATCCATGGGTCATGAAGTACTTGAGTTACTTGATTCGCTACTTCCAGTACTTGGATGGAAACCTTTGAGACTTGAAGTGAAGTGACAGTTTTGAGGACTTTCGGACGTTGAAGGCACTCAGAACTGTGGCCTCGTGTACCTTTTGGACACATTGGAAACTTCAATACTCCATAGGAAATTTGTAGTCCCATCTCAATAGTTTTAATCATTTCTGGGAAATAAATATATAAATCAGCATTTGCGAGGCTATGAACCGACATTTATAAGGACTTTCTGGTATTATGAAAAGTTCAAGGCCAAGAAGGCTATTTCTCATGATTTTTTGAACTTCATGGACTTAATTGGACACTTTTGAGATCTCAAATGACAGTTTGCGAGCGGTAAAGTATTTTAATACACTATCTTGAGGATGAGGACTTCAAAGGACACTTTCCAGACCTCAAAGCGACTGTTTCAATGAGTTGTCTGAGCACCCTTGCTGTATCAAATGGGCTTTTTTGAGAACTTGCGCGACGCTAACACCTTAACAAAGGCACCTTTGAGGCTCTATTGGACTGTTTTCAAGGCCTTGCGCATTTGAGACTCGGACGCGCGGATTTTTTAGGACTTGGCAGAGGAAGTCGAGAAATGGAATGGTCGTTTTTGGGGAACTTGTTGGGTATCTGAGTGGGTATTTTTTGAGCGACTCCGAGCCATTTTAGAGTGAGTGAATTTTTCGAGGTTGAATGCTGTGTTATATACTGAGGGAAAAAGTGATATCTTTTAACTCTAGCGTCGTAATTCTGGGAGATACGATGGATGATGAGAAGTTCCATATAGAAAATAGCGAAGATTATACCGGGACAGTCAAAATAACCCTCATTGCAAGAAATTGTGGAATTGTGTGAACTAAGGAGATGTTTCTCATTATCCAATGAATCTCTCCTTTGAAATTCAATCTTTGTTCCGGGTTTTTCCGGAACACTTTACCTTTCTCCCAGTGTTGATTCTATAAGATACTTGAACATGATATGCTCATTGTTATATAAGTTGATTCCTGATTTTTCAATTTGATGTTATTTTCTTCCTTGAAATTTTGTGTACATTCCATTTTTAAATGTATCGAATCTTCTTGTACTTATAATTTTATCCACTGTTACGAATTGAGATGAGTTTGATTCAGACTTAGGATTGTTAAATGTTGAGCCTGACAATAATATGTTATTTATTACTTACTGTCGTGCATTTTTGTTTATCCGTTGTACCTATATTTGACTCATCGCAGATCTGAAAAGAAATTGTCACGTGGTTTTTTCGATTGTTGAGGTGAAAACACAAACTATTCAGTTGGTCTTTTTTCATCGATGTATTTGTGATGAGTTTCAAATCATGCTCTCATATGTCTGAACCAAAAATCTGAATTTATGATGAACTGACTTTCTATCACTCTCTGAAATTGTTGCATCTGAATATTCCGGGTTTGTCTAAGAGCCAATGACACAAAACGTAGTTCGGTAAACCTTCCAGATGATATATAATGAATTAGTTACGTCATCAGTAGGGTAACGAAATGGCTATGCTGCAATAATGCGAAAAACCGGGCAAGGCTATTTGAAAAAAAATATAATAATCAAGAAAATTCGGTTTCTAGTATGATAAGACTCCCGAATTCCTTTTGTTTCTCAGATTCAGAAATGAAAGAAAATTCTAATGAAATAGCAGATAATTATATATATTTTGGCCTATACAAGTAATGTGTAGTGTAGTCCTATCCCTTCAAGAAACAAAGGAAATTTGGGTGTCTTATCATACTAGAAATCGATTTTTTTAAATTATTATTATCATATTTTTAAATAGCCTTGTCCGGTTAATCGCATTGCAGCAGAGTCAATTCATGTTTAATGACGTTAATAATTAAATTTATATCTGGGAGGCTTATCCAACTAGGTTCTGTGTCGTTGGCTCTGATCCACTAGTTCAAGCGGTAAATATTTTTTTTTTCATGAAATCAGACATGAACTTTTTATTTTATTCAACAAATCGGGTTTTGATTTAAACATTGCTATAGGATTGAGTGGGAATGAAAAAGAGACTGCCTAGCAACAAATAATATCAAATCATATCAATTAATATAAGATTACGCGAATTTTGATATACTGATATAATCAGGGTGTATTTAGGAAAATTGCACACATTCATGCAGGGGTGAATTTTCGAGTGGTTCTGAGACGAAGAAAATAAATTCATGTGAATATAGTACCGAAAATGTTCAGTTTTCATGATACAGTGTGTCAAAATTTTGTTGAACTAAATTAAAAACTGATTGAGCCATGACAAAGTATACTGTATCGTCTCCCATATGATATTCAAACAAATCAACTGGATAAAGAAACAAGCACATTTTCTTTGGGAGCACTATTTAATCAATACTCTCAAAATTCCCTATTATATCACCAACAAAAAGCTTAAATCAAATTTTATATTAATTAGGATTTCATAAATTTATGGTCATCACACTATACAATATAACTTGTTTCATCTTGAAGCTGCAAATTCTGAACTTGGACAAAAAAGTTTACATATGAGGCGATTTCGAAATTCAATAAATTACCAGATGATATCAAAAACAAACCAAATATTATACAATTCAAAAATAAAGTGAAGAAATATATTTCTATGCAAAGGAATGATCAAAGCTGAAAGACTATGAATTTCCATCTTTTTTCTTTTTTTTTTCTTCACTGTTTCGTTTTTTCCCCTTCTTGTTCAATATAATATGAGTACCTACTGTTATCTTGAGATATCTTAATGATATGTGAGTTTTGTTCACTATTTGTAATTTCAATTATACAAGAGCCGATAATACTTCATGAATGATCTTATACCAGGAATTACCGTCTGATCATTCATGTCATTCCTACTAGAAAATCAATTATACTTTATATATTATTTTTATAAAATGTATCAATGAATAGAAAAATGTAACGCAATAACTGAAATTAAAAAATAAATAAATATATGATTGAACGCGGTTCAGAAAGAAAAATATTGTTTCAAAGAAGTTCAACATCCTGTATCTTGAAAACAATTTCATTCACGATCTATCTTGATATGAACGCCGTTATCTTAGAATCACTTAAAAATGCACTCCTTTAAGTTTGGCTACATATACTCAATCGACACCCTGTATACCTACGCATACCTTTTCTAGGAATTACGAGTAGAACAATGTGAATGTTCAAGTCTGAAAAATTGCTAATTTTTTACTGCCGAATGCCGACTTGTGTTAGTTTCTCCATGTAGAATTCCTAGCAGAATTCTGAATTGCCTCATGTCTGATTTCATACTTGGCTTTCTTATTTTTGCGAAAGTTTATCTATTAGTTTCCAATCATTTATCGTTGAATGTTTATTCATACTGAAATGTTTTGTTCCGAAATGATGAAAGTAGAAACTGATAGATAATTTTTACATGCATTTGCAAATTAGATATGATCTAAACATATCTTTTTACACACTTTGTTTGAATAATCTACGGATCAGAATCCTGAAAAATATAAAATACTTTTGCAGAAATAAAAAACGCAACCATAATAAAATTATGATAATAATAATGTCTCGAATGCTGCAAATTTTTATTTTAATATCTGCTGATGAGAAAAAAATTGTATGAAAGAATGCCCATATACAGTCTGTCCAAGATAAGGTTGAACAGCATGGGGATCTCGGAAACGGTAGGAGATACGAAGTCGCTTAGATGGGGAAAAAGTTGCGCATTCGGAGGCTCATATCAAGAGCCTTCGAAAATTTTGAAAAATTATTCTTAGTTTTTGAGTTATATCGAAAAAAGTGAATTTTTGGAATTTCTATTTTATTTTTTTCTCCGTTATTATTAGAGATACAGAAGAACTGAAAACACTTTTTCATAGCAACTTTCGATGACGTTTAACGTGCTGATACCGATTTTCTTATGCGACGTTTCGTATCCGTAGAACCATCATCAACTTTTGTTTTTTAAATACGGTCCTGATAATTTTTTCACAGATTCTGAAAGGTTTTTTATTCTGAATTCAACCATGTATTATATATACAAGGTGATTTGAATGTGTTTCGACCTATTTCTATCCATCATCAATGTTTTTTCGAACTTCCACAGGAAAAAAGCCATCAGTTCCACTTATTTCTGATCATTCAGTGTCAAACTTGATGGATTAGTTATTCAATACTGAAAAGTGATTAAAAAATATTCCACTACATCATTCGATCAATGCAGCGCTTAAAATTGTTGATGAATTCTTACACGAATTACTTTAACAACTTAACTTTGACAATACCTACAGAGACATTAATAACAAATGTTCAAAATTATAACCATCATTTTCTGAACAAAGATATCCTCTTCTCACAGTTGCTTCTAAGACATTGCTAAGCATTTCTGGGGTTATTCTATTGAATGCTTCGAAGACACTCCCTTAGTTCTTCTTCATCATCAAAGTTATTTGCGTATACAAAGTTTGATATATCCCCTATAAAAAAATCCAGCTGTCTCAAATCAGGCGACCGCGCCGGCCAAGGGATAAAAACGCACGGACTTCTCTGGAATTATGTACCGGAGCGCCACCTTGTTGGAACTAACAGTTCTGAACTTCCGCAATCGGTAAATCATCCAGAGCTTCCTCAAGATGATTCTCAAGCAAATTTCTATAACGTTCGGAAGTCTGTGTTTCATGCTAAATAGAAGGACCAATAATTCGTGTACCAAATATTGCAACCCACATATCATATTAAAGCCGAAACGGTGTTGGTGTCTCGCTGTAATGTATAAATGTTCATTTTCTCGTGAACAATAATGTGTATTTTTTCTATCGAAGATACCATGATTAGTGACCATGCTTTCATCAGTCCAGATGATTTTTCGAGGGAAATCTGCAAAATTTTGACATTTCCTGGTATACCACTCACAAAATGTCCTGCGCCTTTCGTCATCGCCTGGTTTTAGCGCTTGACATATTCTGAATTTGTATGGATGGAATTTTCGTGTTCGCAAAATGAAATGGGTTGTTGATTGAAACCAGTTGATGAGGTATCAGTGTGTTGACTAATTTTCCTTCAAAATAAGTGGAACTGATGGCTTTTTTCCATTGGAAGTTCGAAAAAACATTGATGATGGATAGAAATAGGTCGAAACACATTCAAATCACCTTGTATAATACATGGTTGAATTCAGAATGAAAAAACCTTCCAGAATCTGTGAAAAAATTATCAGAACCGTATTCAAAAAACAAAAGTTGATGATGGTTCTACGAATACGAAACGTCGCATAAGAAAATCGATATCAGCACGTTAAACGTTATCAAAAGTTTTTCTGTACCTCTAATAATAACGAAGAAAAGAAATAGAATAGAAATTCCAAAAATTCACTTTTTTCGATATAACTCAAAAACTAAAAATAATTTTTAAAATTTTCGAAGGCTCTTGATATGAGCCTCCGAATGCGCAGCTTTTTCCCCATTCAACTGACTTCGTATCTCCTACCGTTTTCGAGATCCCCATGCTGTTCAACCTTATCTTGGACAGACTGTATGAGAGACTTCAGTATTTTTTCACTCGATTAGTTCAACTTCAAATTCATCAACTGTTCAAATCTCTTCCACAAATCATTATTCTGATTAGATTTTCGTTACTTCGAAATAAACTACTAGAAGATGAAGCCAAAACAATTGAATTCGGCAGCTATATCACCCTATATATAACCATAATATAGGTAACTCAATCTACTCTGTTATTTTTTATTATCTGGAGAACACTTCAATGATTTAGTTAGAAAGAATGGGCTGGAATAATCAGAAAAATATTATTTTTCTACGGCTATAACACAAGATTGCTCTTGTTTTACTGTGTTCGATACATCAATGAGGTACTTTGTCATCAATTTTATTTCCGTATCTGATATCACAATGAATCCATGGTGTTATAATTTAAAAAAAAACTCATCGCTCATGAAATGTCAAATTTCAAGCAATGACAGCTCTGTCCGATAGATGAGCATTACTTGACAGGAAATCAGAAATCAGATGGCTACAAGACGAAGAAATCGAAAATGCCGCTGTTATCTAATATAGCCGTAGAAAAATTATAGTGTATAACTTGCACGGAATGCTAATTTCCTACTCGAATGATTGCAGTTTTCGTCTATGGCTCATGCTACAAACTTCATTCTTGTAGGAAATCACTATCATTCCGTGCTCGTTAAACAATATACCTACTATTGAATAATCCTCCATAATCATATTATTTTCTTGGAGATCCTGAATAAAGAATTTAAAATTTGCAGTATTTACTAACTATATACTCTCATTCGATCCTTTGTATAACTTATTAAACAATTCTCTCTCACAAGAATTTTCTCAACCAGGACAAACTTTTTACTTTATTGTAGCAATACCTACAAAACTTTGATAGAATATGCATAAAAATGATTTATTTATGTTAGTTAACATATTTGTTGTGTATAAAGAATGTAAGTAGTCACATAGTATTTTATATTATACTTTTTGGATTTTGTTAGAGCTATAATAAAATGGCGTATATTTGGATGTTACTTTGTCTCAATTTTTTTCAAACAACTCTTCGATCCCTTTTTCCCAAAAACCTAAAAACGAGTTGATTCTGAATTGACTCAACAGGAACCTTTGAAAAACTGTCAACGAAAGAGGAAAACTGACTTCATTATGGTGTCCAGCGAGTCCCCACAGCGCATCGGCAACCCCTTGTATACCAAATTACTGTTCGATTCGGGAAAAGTGGAAACTGACTTGATTCATGTATTTTCCTACGAAAAAAGATTCCCTAGTACGGATTGGAAGCACAACTCTCTAGCTTTCATAGAAAAAAGTTGAAATTTTGGATCCCATGATGGTCGATATAGAAACAATTGGAAATATCGTGATATTATGAGCTAGTTCACGTATTATGAATATGACAATGAATTCTTTGAGATAATTTTTCAGATCAAGTTTTCTCATTTTCAAATGCTATTTATCTATGAAACTAATAAATAAAATAGAAATGAACAAATATCTGCATGAGGACTTGAAATATTTTACAAAAGCTCAAAGGGGTTTTAATCTTGTTTCTTCTCCAGACCAGAAATTCAACGTCATTGTAGGGCCTTCAAATTCAATATACAGGGTCCTATGGCTCTATCTTTCATAATAAAAAAGTTGCAAAATAAAAATATTTCGATCTAATACCTCAATTGACTGGAGATCTATATCGTGGGAACTACTGAATTTTTGGCGGAACTAATTTAATTTCACATATATCACGAATTGAAATTGTTGGCCATCATTTCAGTGATCTTCAGAACTTTTTTTTAGCGAAACTGAGATGATTCAAATATTTTGCTTTAAAAGAATTTCGGCCATCTTTTCAGCGATCTTTCAGATATATTTTTTCCATTTTCAAATGCGATTATATGGAGAGCTTACAGAGAGATAGAAACGAACTAGCTTCAGATTCTTGTTCAGCAAATCGAGAATATCCTGTATACAAGTCTGACGCTTCAAAATATCCGAAATAAGTCCAAAGGAGTTATAAGTTTGTTTCTTTTTCGGGACCAAAAATCAACTTTGTCGTAGGGCCATTAAATTTTGCATGCATCATATCAGGGTCATTATTGTGGGATGCCCTCTAGTGCGGAGTAGGAAACACAGCTCTCTAGCTTCAATAGCAAAAAAGTTTTGGTTCTTGACCCGCTTTTTATTCTTTCCATCTGGGGTTCCTCTAATATAAAATATCGAGAACTACTAAATTTTTGGCGGAACTAAAATGATTTCACAATTTTTTTCGGGGGTAAATATATAAGAGATGATTTATTATCGATAAATACATGTTTAATTGTATGAAAGTTTGATTGTCATTGCTTACAATCGAGAATCAAGCGAGTGAAAAAATCGCGAGAGCTTGCTCGAGCGTATTTGCTACTTCCCTAGCTTGATTCGAGATTTTTTTATCAAGATCTTTCTATGTAATTTCGGGACCCTCTGTATATCTACTAAGATGGAAACAAAACTGACTTCAGATTCATATTCAGCACATCGAGAATACCTTTTGTATATACAGATACGATGGAAGAAGGGGTAGGCGCGGGTGTATATGGACCCGGATGTAGGCTATTTGAAGCCTTATTAGGTCACTCCCCCACTATCTGAGGTGCCTGAGCAAAGGTCTGAGGGGTGCCAACATATAAACACATCAAAGATTACATGAGACTGCTTTGAAACACTCATGCAACTGGGAAATGACAACAAAGTCACACTTATGTGGGTTCCAGGGCATGAAGGAATCAAAGGAAATGAGGCAGCTGATCGCCTTGCAAAAAAAATATGCAGCATTTGCACTTTTTGGTCCTGAGCCTTTTTGTGGGATAAGCAAATGTCACCTAAAGGGAGAAAAGTCCTCCTACTAGAGGTCCAGGTCAACGACAAGCGAAAAGGTTCATCAACCATTCGCAGAACCGAGCCAAAGAGCTACTCAGCCTCAGCAAACCAGAGCTAAAGCTTATCACAGGCTTTCTCACAGGACACGGCCCTCTGAGGTACCACCTCAAAAAGATGTGCCTGGCGGAGACTGACACTTGCCGCTTTTGTAACAATGCGACCGAAACCGCGGAACAGATACTTTGCTCATGTGAAGTATTAGTCCGCCAAAGGCTGAACCACCTAGAACAGGTCTATCTCACACCTGCTGAAGTCAGGAAAATCGTAGGCTTCATCAGAAGTCTAGGGTTAGAGGACCAAAACTAGATAGGCGGGTAATCACAATAGATCTTCTAGGTCGCAGTGATCGAGAGGTCTCCCAGCCTATACGACCCATCTACAATCTACAATCTACAATCTACAGATACGATCCAATTAAAGTTTATGCAAAGTCAGTTGAACAGATCATCAAACGAATGTCGGGCCGCGCTGCCGCACTCTTTGAACTTTCGAAGGGACCGACGGCTCGCGATGATGTGTTTTTCCAACTGACTTTGCATAAACTGTACCAATAAGAATCCCCTATAGTTCATGAAAACGAAAGTACTGGAAACACAACATTTATTCAAAAAACTTAACATCATCATAAAATATTATCTCAAATGTTCTTCATATTCTTCGTCAGTGATTTCGATCGTATCGACAATTTCGTCAATAATGACCATGATATTATCCAACTTCTCATTAGCTTTCTTGAACCTTTTTACAAAAGCTATCTTTTCATCTTTGATCAAAAGGTCTTCATCAGTTTTGCTGAGTTTGTCTTCATACTTTGTAGTGGATGGGACATCTAAAGTGCTTCCCTGTTCTCCAGTGTTGAAGTCTTCATCACTCTTTTCCAAACCTTCAAACTGTTCTTCAGTTTTATCGCGGATTTCCTGAACTTCTGGTATTTTATTTCTCATTAATTTTGCATTCCTTGATGGTTTAAGATGTCCTATATCTTCAGATTTCTTGACGTCATCATTATTTCGTTGTTCAACAAAATTCGCTAATTCATTCATGATAGTTTCTTGTAGTTTCTTCTTTATCAACTCCTTGTTGGTTATTCTTGGATTGTCATCTATGATGGTCATTATCTGTTGTTGAATTTTCAGTATTTCTTCCTTTTCTTCTTGTATCAATTCTTCTTTGTTCACTGTTTCTACTATTGGCATCTTATTCTGATCCAATTCTTTTCCTTGTTTTCCGCCATCTAGCTTTTTTCTTTTATATTTTTGAATGATCTTCCTGATGTTCAACTTGACGTGCAGTTTATTTTCTGAATCTTCAGTGGCTTCCTTTACTTTAATTTTCCGTAATGCTGATTCCTCATATTCATCCTTCTCAAGGTTTGCAACTTCAGCTTTCTTCACTTTTTGGTCTGAATTCATCTGGCTATCCTGTTTGTGCTTAAATTTGTTCCTAGCTTGTGCAAAATCTTGATTGTTTGGTGTCTGCCTATCTATCTTCAATTTGGTGATCAATTTGTTTTCAAAATCTATGGAAGAGTCTACCATGTTTATCTTTGGATTATTTTCAGAGTATTCCTCATGCTTCAAACGTTTGTTTTTGAGTAGATTTTTTTCTGAAGGTTCCTTCTGAATAAACTGAGTTTTTGGTCTCAATTTCATTCTCTTTTCATCAGGTGTTTTGGTATTTTCATTGAAAATATCTACTGTCTCTGTGCTGGGAACACTTTCTTCTGATATTTTTGAATAAGTTTTGATGGTTTCTTCAATTCTTGGGAGATTTCCTTCTACTACAATAATTGGTGTTGATTGTTCTTCAATCTCAGCATCAGTGATATCTGTGTTTGGCATATCTTCAGGAAATAGTAGGTTATCCTCAAGTTCTTTCAAGTCTTCAATATTTGTATTAGCTTCTCCAGATGGAAGTACTTCACCTTCAATAATTTTGCTAGAGACAATGTCTTCAATCTCAGGCGTTTCATTCAAATTCTCTTCAATATTTCCCTCAATATTTCCATGACTTACTATGTACTCCTGTACTTCCTCTATGCTTTCCTCAATTTTAAGCACATCTTTATAGTTTTTGCGCCTCTTCAAAATGAACAACACAGGTTTGGTTTTAATTTTCACAGGCGGAATGGTGAGATAGTTGAATGATATTTGGTGGAAGGCCTCTATGGTGTCTATTACATCATGTGTAGCAGAATACGGCTTCAGACTGTTTGAAAATTTGCTTTTAGATTCTGCAATGAGGTGAGTGAACCCATATAGCTCATAAGCGCCTGGCATTAGGTTTTCTGTTTTGCTATACCTATAACAAAACATCAATAAATAGATGTTATTCTAGCTTCCGATAAAACTATAAAACAGAGAGAAACTGATAAAAAACGATAAAAACTGATGAAAACCGATAAAAACCGATAAAAACCTATAAAAACCGATAGAAACCAATAAAAACCGATAAAAACAATAAAAAACTATATCAATGATAAAAAAGGATGGAAAAAACAACAAAATGAAGAAATAATGGAAAGATGATCAGATAAAACTATAACGGAGATGAGAGGACAAATCAATAAATCGATTATGGGTGAAATAGGGTGACTTACGTCCAATTGGTGTTGATCTGTGTGAACCTGGAGACTCCTGTTTGAGCAGCTAAATTCGCTATGTGCACCCTGACGTGAGTTTCGTCCCTGGCAAGCCTGTGCAGATGAGAAATGGCAGTTCCACCAGGGTAATTGGTACCTGATATGCTCAGCAAGAAGAGGGTGAAGACTATGTTAACAGTGAGATGTCCTGCTACACCCAGAGACATTAAATGGTAGAAGGGTGTTTTGTTGCGATTCTCCCAGCTGAAGAGATTGAAAAAAAATCACTCAAAAAAAATAAAAGAGTTCAGTAATTGGTAACTGAAATGAGTGAGTTTCATGAAAAGTTAAACTTTCTGATGACAAGGAAAATGATTTTTTGGAGGAAATCCCCCAATTATTTTGTTCATTATAAGATTTTGTTTTTCATTCTACCTATACTTTGCATTTTCAGATGTTAAGTAGGTACTGAGCATATCTGTAACATTTTCCTGTAATGTTATTCAAGTTGCATCATTATTTTTTTATAATTTAAATTGATCAAAAACACACCCTGTACACACCCCATGTTCTTATTACTTACATTTTATGACATGCAGTTGCAGCAGCAGCATTCAGAAAAGGATAGACATATATGATGAACCTCAGTTCTTTGTGTGGTAAAAAGGAATACAAAAAGACAAAAAGTAAAGCTGGTATGACTAATTTTCTTACTCTTTCATCAAGAAAGAATCCAATTGGAACTAGAAATACTGAGGCTGCCATGCCTCTGGGAATAGCAGAGTAGAAATACCATAGAAAAGGTGAAGTCTAAACAAAAATTAAGGAAAGGTTGAACTTGCTAAAAAAATATGAAATTTTGTTCATCCCAACCAAGATTCCAACAATATTAAAATCAATAATATTTATAGGTTTGCCAAAAAGTTCTAGCCAAACAATAAGATAAAGAATATCCAAAGTCAATTACAGAATATCCCCCACCATGGCATGGTTTGATGTGAAGTTTGAAGTGAGTGCAGGTGCTGCAGGAGACTCTGCAATTGTTTTTGGATAAACTATATACACTAGAGTTTTCAACTATATTCTCTGGTTAACAACTTTACAAAATTAGAATGTTTTTCATGAAAGTGAAAAAATACTGAAGAAAATTTTCAATCTCCATTTATTTAGAAAAGGATACTCCCCAATTTGAACTCTTATTCATAATGGTATTATACCACAGTACTTCCCCTTCTGGCCATAATGGTCTGGTCCAAAAAATTGAATCAATCACTACTGACAGCATAAGGAATCCTATTCCACCAGGTATAGCAATCTGCAATAGCCTAAAAATTAGTTGACTCCTTGAATGAAGTAAATCTGAGGGAAACTGAGATAAAAATGAACCATATCCAATTGAAATAATCAATTTACTGACCTACCGTTTTATTGATATCCTCTTGTAGTAGAGATCATAAAGCAATAGTATTCCTAAAAATAAAGCCAACTCTGCTCGAAAAATAATAATAGCTGCTGCAGAAAACAGTACAAAAGTGATATTGTTGTTCTTGATCCAACCATTGAGTGCTAACAGTACTGAAAATTAAGAAGTAGTGAGAGTTTATAACTGAAAAGTATAAGCTTAGGGCTAAGCTTACTCACCTAATGGTAATGCAAAAATATTTGGCAATGGACGACTCAGGTAGTACATGAAATGACTCTGTGTCACAGTTATAGCTATGAACCATTGTAACCATCTTGATCCAAACTGCTTCTCTAATGTTTTACTCAAAATGTTGAAGCTACTAACTATACATGTAGCAATAATGGTCCTCACTACGAAAAAAGTGCTTGAAATGTTAGTTTGAGTAACATAGACCTTTTACCAAGATATTGTGCCCAGAATTTGTTCACATTCAATATTTCTAAAGCAGCTACAATGGGTGATGCAAGAAATGCAATAAATAGGGGTCCAATAAAGGTACGAGGGACAACGCCAGGAAATTCAAGATGATCATACTGAAATCAATAGAAAAATTAGAGAAGAGTTGGTAGGTATTGCATAAATAATAAAGTTTCACCTGGGAGAGGTTGAATCTATGATACAAAATGTCATGAATGGCCTGCAAGTTGAAACTTTCTTCTACTTTGGTAAAAGGACAATAAACTATATGTGCCGTGGCAATGATAAGCATAATCTGCGACATTTTTATCCCTAGTGCTACCTTTTTATCTGCATAATTTCAAAAATAGTTTAAATTTGCACCAAAATAGAATTGACATAACCTTAAATCTATTCTCAAATTTGACATTTGACGCTGATAAAAAATGAGAAGTGACAAACATTCATCAATGACAACTGATAAGTAGAGTCAATGACGGCTAAATATGTAGACTGTCTGATATAGCGCATCGCTTAATACGATTTCTACAAAAATCGGACCAAAATGAGAGGTACCTTTTGAATTGATGAGGACGAAAAGTGAAGGATGGAAACAGCCATATTGGTTTGACAAGTTTTGTATTATTTTTTCCCTACGTCGGCATCAACGCCTGAAGTTGGCCCCGCTTGGAGGAGAGCTATGCTTCATATATGAGTAGTAGATATATGGGTTATACCGTCAGACAGTCTAGATATTTAGCTGTCAATGGTAGAGTGAAATGACCACAGAACTCATATTACGTAAGTAATATGAGTTATTTTCGTTAGTTATTTTCACCCAATGGAAAACACTATTATAAATCATTGTCAATGTCAACATTGTCAACATTTTGAAACGTCAGTTAGCGTTAGCGGTAATCGCTTTGTCAATTTTGAGGTTACTGGGTAGTTGTACTGTAGGATGCTTGAAAACTAGTAAACAAATATGGAAAACGCTAACAAATCGAATATGGAAGAAAATGACAAAGAAGATGGTGTGGAATTAATCGAAATCAACGTAGTAAACAATGATGACAAAGCGGAACCTAAAACGGTGAAAGATTTGTTTTCAGATTTCAAAGCTTCAGACGAATCTGATTATGAACCCAATGATCATGATGCTACTGATACAGATTCAGATGCACCTCTTTCTAAACGGATGAAGACAAAAAAGAAGAGAAGCTCTAAAAGGGACCTACTGGATAACAGTTTGGATGACTCTAAAAAGAAGGTGATATGAATATAAAAATGCAATCACTACATCACATCTAGAACTCACTATTTCTTGTAGAAACATTATGTACAGAAATACAAGAAAGAGTGGGAAACAATCCCATCTGTTAGGCCTTGGATTTCTGAGAGTATACATGGTGCACACTATTTTTACTGCAGGTTCTGCAAAAAGGATTACAAATGTGGAAAGACTGAGATTTTCAAGCATATGAGTGCTATGAAACACAAGAAACATTTGACCAGTACTAGCCAGTCTGCACAGGTTAGTTGAATTCATATTCCATAATTTAAAATTATATAAGTGCCTAGTTCAATGTTGTTTTAGAATAAATTTATGTTCAGAGGCCTCCTATGTCCTGTAATAACTCCTTTTGTGAAATCAAGGTAAGATTCCTGTGAAAGGTATTTTGACTTACTTTTAGTTAACAGAACTGTTTTTAGGAACAAAGAAGTGAATTTCAAATTGATTGGTCCATATGCAAAATTTCTGAAAGCATGTGGAGTGAAAGGAATATTATGTATGTAGTGTATTTGGAAATACATAAGACTCTTCTAAAGATTGATTTTCAGTGAATGATGTAGCAGGTGAAGGCATGTCTTTAACAACTGATGAAAGAAAACAGCTATTGGAATTCTGGTCTGATATTTGCAAGGAAAAAAATCAGTTCTTGATGGTGCAAGTGGGAGGAGCTCCACTCAAAAGTGTTATAGACATGGTGAATATCCAAAGAAAATGCACTGATTCTGAACATTGCTCATTAGGTGATAACTTCAATGACAATAATAAATTTCTAGGCTATTCATGCTGAAAGACTCAAAGTAGGTGCCATAGTTTTGATGGCAGATTTATACCACAGGCCAAAAAATCATCTGGATCTCATAAGATATATCAAAATCATATCAGATTATACAGACAAAGTACCAATATTGTACCACCATTACCCAAAATATACCCAGTTGTATGACAGTGAGTGCAAAGTATTCAAGTTAAATATTGCTTTTCTACCTAAATATTTCTGTTTCAGTTGACATGTCTGCATTCCTGCTGGACATAACTGGAGAAATAGAAAGCTTTGTTGGGGTTATCTATAGTACAAATGATCTACAGGATGGTCTCACTGCTCTTACTCTCAATCCAGAAAAGTATGTGGTCTTCATGGGTACTGATGAGGTGAGAAAAAACTATTCCTAGAAAGTTGTCCACAATTTCGTATTTTGTCTTGTATGTTGCAGGTTATGTTAGGTGCTGTAGCTAGTGGATTCACTTGCATAATGGGAAACAGTATTAACATCTTGCCAAAACTGGCTGAATCTATATGCCAGTGCATAAAAGATGGGGAGATCAAGAGTGCCCAGGCCTCCCAGAATTTATTGAAGAAAGCTATAGATGGTATCTATGGAAATGGTAAGGCTGAAGAATCAATATGTAAAGTAACTCTCCAAAGTCAGGAAAATGTTTGTAAATAAAGTCTTCACTGAAAGGGGCACTATTTTAAAGTTCCCAATTTATTAATATTTTTCAATATTTTTTTAGGTGATATGGTAGCTTGTTTGAAAGCAGCCATTGGTATAATGACTAACCTTCCAGTGGATACAGTGAGGGAACCTCTACAGACCTTATGGGATGGAACTGTAGTGAAAATGAAGAATAAACTACATGAAATTGGGATCATATAACTTTTTTTTTACAATAATTATTTAATGTTTAACATTATATTGTCCCCGAATATAGTATGTAAATTTCCAGAATATTTCTTTCTACTTTTCATATTCCCAAATTTATTGTAAATAAAAACGTTTTGAGATATGGTGAATTTCTTCATAGTTGTGTTTAGCATAGTACAACAATCCTCCATAAAACAGAAATTTACTTTTTCTACTCACATAACTAAAATGGCATTTAGCGTACGGATATGTACCACGCTAAATGATCGATTAATCACGGATTGTCGATCTGTGATTTATTCAAAATATTAAACACGTTACCATGGCAACACGATTTCTTAAACACATTACCATGGCAACACAGTTCATTAAACACAGCTTCAGTAATTTGAGACATGTCTGGCCTGTCAATTGTAATAAACTGTCAACTGTTATTTTCAAATTTTGTATCAAAATTATTCAAACAATATTCGTTTGTATAAGAATTCTTCATTAAAAATATATGCGAAATGTAGACGAAAGTGAAATCGAAGAGAATGTGCTGGTACTTGCATATCTCCAAAAAGTGTAAAAATGAAGCATCCATCTTTGAGAAGAATTTATTTATTCTGAGCTAAGCATGACAATAAACGTGAAACGAAGGTTAGTAAGCAAAGGACTGGACACATCTACAACCAATATCACTTATACGTGTCTCGCTGGTTGCATGCAGTTGCATGCATTATGTTCTGAATTCCCATTCCTTTCGAATTATTTTGTAGGTTAGCAGGAATAGCAGGTATGTCAATGTAATTTTTGGAGTTCGTAGAAAAAGCATAGTATGTAACGCGTTTATAAACTCTTCTAGACACTCGTTTATTAAACACTCGCTCCGCTCTGCTCCGCTCGTGCTTAAAATACTCGTTACTAAAAGGACGTTTATAACACTTGTTACATAATATACTATTTTTCTACTCACATAACTAAAATGGCATTTAGCATACGGATATGTACCACGCTAAATGATCGATTAATCAGGAATTGACGATCTGCAGCGATCTGTGATTTATTCGAAATATTAAACACGTTACCATATGGCAACACGATTTCTTAAACATATTACCATGGCAACACAGCTTCAGTAATTTTAGACATGTCTGGCCTGTCAATTGTGTCAACTGTTATTTTCAAATTTCGTATCAGAATTATTCAAACAATATTCGTTTGTATCAGAATTATTCATTAAAAATATATGCGAGATGTAGACGAACGTGAAATCGAAGAGAATGTTTTGGTACTTGCATATCTCCAAGAAGCGTAAAAATGAAGCATCCATCTTTGAGAACAATTCATTCATTCTGCGCTAAGCATGACATAAACGTGAAACAAAGGTTAGTAAGCAATGGACTGGACACATCTACAACCAATATCACGTATTCGTGTCTCGCTGGTTGCATGCAATCGCATGTATTATGTTCTTAATTCCCATTTATTTCGGAATTATTTTGTAGGTTAGCAGGAATAGCAGGTATGTTAATGTAATTTTCGGAGTTCGTAGAAAGCATAGTATGTAACGCGTTTATAAACTCTTCAAGACACTCGTTTATTAAACACTCGCTCCGCTCGTGCTTAAAATACTCGTTACTAAAAGGACGTTTATAACACTTGTTACATAATATACTATTTGAATACAATTCAGACACTAGGGAAAATATTTGGGTAATTGTAGCTTTCTTATAGGTAGAATAATATCGTGAAGCAGGTAAGCATAGCAGAAGACGGTAGGTATTGGATTTGATTTGAAATTTTAGAGATTATAAGTACTTAGGCAAACAAAGAATTCCAAATATTTGGAAGAGCAGAGGAATGTTGTATGGTTCCTGAAACTATCTTATCAAATCACGATCGGTAGGTGTATTATACACTTCCAAATGTAATAAAGGCTTCCCATTTCCTCCCTTGCTGTCCCCTGAATGTATGCAACACGTCTTACCACCAAACCAGTTATTCAAATGAAGAAGTGCGACTTTTACAGAATTATGGAGTGAGTACACATATGATAGTACCGTTAAAATGACCGAATATTAGCTGTATGCGTGGTTAAATGAAAATGACCATTTCAAGAAATAAACTAGGTGAATAATGATGGTACAACAAGAGAACAGTGGAAATGAAAAGACCAACAAAGTAGGTACATTTAATTTTTTATATTTTTCGCTTGGAAGGAATTGCTGATTTTCTGTGACCAAAATTGGAACCAAATGGTGTTTGCATAGATATATACTCTTCATTTCAATTGAATAGATGTAGGTCCGTATACCTACACGTTCTAATCGATTGTTTTTCATCTTGTTATACGGATCGATTATCACTATATTCCTTTAATTTTATGAAATATAGAGAAAATGTATTGGTTCACCTACAGCTGAGGAAGGGAAATCAATTTCCTTTCCATCCCAAAATTGCTGGGACACCTGGAATACAAGTAGAAATAAGTTGATTGAGCCCAAGTTATTTATTTATATAAAGAAAAGGTACTTTTGGCCGTGAAACGAGTTCACGCAGTTTACTAAAAAAAAAACACATTTTTGTACACTGAACAAATTGGATGAAATTTGATAAAAGTGCATTTTAGAGGATTCCGCGTCTTCCCGGTAACCAAAGAAACCCAAAACAAATTGTAGAAGGGTTGAAACCCACTTCACTCCCTGACATTTTAAAAAATGTTTCCTTAAAAAATGCTAACAGATATTCCTAGTGAAAGTTTAATATCATTATATTGAAAAATTTAGTTGAAAGTGGAAACAAAAGCAGAATGTTTTTTTTAATCAATTAATGTTCAATATGACGCCCGCACCTTCATCAACTCTAAATTCGTTTCTTCCACTGCCAAATAATTTTGAATCAAACTTTTATTAGGAATATCGGAACTATGCGGAATACGAAATTTTCACAAGAGTAACAAAATGAAGATAATTGATCAGTCATCTCGCTTAATAAAATTGAGAACCCATTTACCACGCCTAAGAATGTTCTGAAAAAAATTTCAGGGGGTGATGGGTGCATGGTTTCAACCTTTCTACAATTTCTTTCAGGTTTCTTCGATAACTGAAAGAAGAGTTATCCTCTGAAATAGAATTTTTGTCAAATTTCATCCAAATATGTTTCACACATTTTTCAACAGCACACAAAAATATGTTTTTTTATGTAAACTTTGAACTTGTCTAAGCAATTTTGGAACACCCTGTATTTTTTATTATAATTTCAGGAATCTTCAAATGAAAAAGTGGTCCATCCTGAACCACCAGTATCAGAGATTTATCCATCACCCAGTGTATACTTCAAGAGCTACTGCATGTTATCAGCTCTGATTGGTGCCATTGCAGTTTCAACAGTCCTTTTCATAGCTGCTGAGGAATGCAGACAGTGTTTCAACAAACCAGAAAAACCTCCAATAGTACTCTCACAAGACGACAGAAAAATCTTTTGGGCATACGGAAAAAACGTCAACTCTGGTTACCTTAACGAAGTATTCACAGTTTTAGACAGGTTAGGCTATAAAAATGACCCAAACTCTACGAACTGGGACCTCTTATGGGCTCACGACTACCCCTTTCAAAAACTGTACCCCAAATTCAACAATTTGAAATCCCACCAAAAAGTGAATCACTTTCCTGGTTGTGGCTACATTACCAACAAAGTGAACTTAGCAACCAGTGGCTTGCCGTACATCCCGCCAGCTTTCAAGCTACCGGGGGACAAGGATAAGTTGTTGGAGTACGCAAGCAAGAACCCTAACCTCACTTTCGTTCAGAAAAATAACGATCATCGTGAAATCAGGATTCAGGATATCACAAAGGTGGACTTGGATGCAGAGGGGACTTTCCTGCAAGAATATGTCGACAAACCCTTTTTAGTTAACGGACACAAGTTCGATATTGGGATATACACGGTCATTACTTCGATAGACCCATTGAGAGTATACATATACAATGGTGAAGCTTTATTGAGGTTTTGTCCTGAAAAGTACTATCCGTTCGACCCGAAAAACTTGGACAAGTACGTCATAGGGGATGACTATTTGCCCATATGGGAAGTCCCATCGTTGGACTACTACTATAACGAATTAGGTTTTGGGATGAGAGATAGTTTGAATGCATTTCTGGAGAGCAAAGGGAAAGATCCTAGCATAATATGGGAGCAAATAGAAGATGCTATTAGGACTGTAATGCTTTCTAAGGAAGCACTTATATTGGATATTGTCAAAAAGTAAGCACAATATATTTTCTACAAATTGCACTATCAACTTGTGAAATTATGAAAGGAAATATGTTTTTTTAGGTTCAGATCTAAACGAAACTTCTTTGAAATGATGCGTTTTGATTTTGTGATAGATGAAAAGCTGAAAATCTACTTGCTAGAAGCAAATATGAGCCCTAATTTGTCATCAGCACATTTTCCACCAAACAGACTTTTATACCAACAAGTCTTATACAACGTTTTAGGACTGGTTGGAGTGGGAGAACAAATTCACAGAAATTCCTTAGCTGCTAGGTCGAAAGCTGAGGAAGAGATGATTGTATCTGACAAGAACTTGGCTGTTTTCCAGAAAACTTGCAACAGCAATCTTTGCCGATCAAGTTGCGTATCTCCCGAATGTCATTTATGCAAACCCTGCTTGTCTCCAGATACTAGGCAGTACCTTGTTCAAGCATACAGAGAACATCTGCACAGAGGGGATTGCAAAAGAATTTTTCCCCCTACTATGGTAATGAATAACTTCGATTTCAAGAATAAATTTACCCATCTAAAACTGTCCACTTTTTGAGCAATTTGAAAGTTACAATATTTTTATTGATCTTTTATTCCAGTAAGTGAACATATAATTTTTTAGGACAGAGAAGAAGCAATTAAAGGTATAAATGTAGAGAGCTTTAGTCCCGAGAATCAACTACAATATCAATGGTTTCAAGGAAAATGCATACTGGAATCATCTTGGTGCTAAATAATGAAAAAAAGGTTATTAAACAAATATTTATTTTGTATTGCAATTTTTATTTGCTCCAATGACTTATTTTTTTGAAAATTATTTTCACTTCAGTGTTCAAAATTCATAGGTTCAAAATTCAATTTGAAGGAGTATTGGAAAGAATATTGAAACAAATCCAGATTTCATATAACAAATATATACATCCAAAGAAAAACCATACATTCCAGCAGTAGAAAAACAACATTCCATTATATCATCTACTTAAAGTAATAAAATCTGATAGGTATTCACTTTGACACTCATTGATTGTACAGAGTGAATCTCAATGTGAAAACCTTAGCTGATATGCTACATGAAGAACTTGAGATCACATAAATTGTTTTCATGTTTGTTCTACATTTCAACCTAACCTCAGTCAGATATCAGATCAAATAAGCCTTCCATTTTGAATCATGTGATCTGTAAATCCTATTTTCTTAACATTATTGGAATAGGCCAGTCAAATATCACAAGTTGTCTACTATCAAAATGGTTTAGGAAATATTAAGCTGCTGTATTCCTTTGGCTTCTAGCTTGCTGTAACTGGGCACTCAGTATCATAGTTTTTTCTCCTAACCTAGCATTGTGCTCTTTCAAGAACTTTATAAGGCTGGCCTGAACAGAAAAATGAAATAAACTTGTAAAGTGATTGAAATATAACTATGATCTAGATTCTAGACTATGGAAAGAAGCTAGTTCATGAATAATGAGATCTATCATTATGATTGAAGATATTCTTTCACAAAAACAAATAAATTGAATAACTTCTTCAATATTGAGTATAAAATACATGAATATAACAAAATTCCTGAGATTCTTTATTGAAACAGATTAAAAATGGAAATTGAAAGATTTTCTCAAAGGCCAGGAATTATTAAAATTACCTGTTTTTCTAGCAATTCTACAACTTTGTCCCCCATCTCTCTATAGCCCACTGTACCTCTCATCACACCTTCAGGAGAAGTACAACTCTGCCATTCCTCTTTCTGGACATCAGGAAGAGGTTTCTGATTATTGAACTTCCACACTCTCACTGCAATAAAATGAGACAGTATTCTTGAAAAAGTATTCAGAACTGTATTGACTCACTCATATAGTTCACATTTACTCCTGCAATCAGACAGAACTCCAATGTTATCAGTGCACATAGGTATGAAATAGGTGAAAATGCTCCCCCTTTTACACACTTTTCAGCAAAATCATCAGGATAAAAATGTTGCATGAGAGATTGTACAAACATTAACACTATGCTCCACAAGCTGACTATGTAAAAGGGCAAGCTAGTGTGCAGTTGTGTTTTCTGATGGAATTCCAAGTATCCATTGAGCCTTAAACTATGGTGTTTATACTTCACAACTTGGTCTAGTATCTGCAGATGAGTGATAAAAAATAGTGTTTTGGCTTTTACCTTCAGTTTGAGGATGGCTTGCTTACCAATGTAAAGAACCAAAGTCCTATATGCATATAAATGATGAGGAAATATTCTCTGCATTTGCTTTTTTCATCAGGGTGTATTGCAGCATATACAATGGAAACTACATCTAGTGTTAAAGTAAACAATAAATGTAGACCAAAGATAGGTATAGTTTTTAATGGTTTGAACACCCCATATGAATCCAGCACTGGCTGCAGGTGCTCCCTTTCTTCCATTGTTACTGATTCACTGAAAAATGTGGCTCCCTAGAAATCAAGGTTTGTTATGAAACATTGTCAAGTGGACCTTGATATTGTGATTGGTATTGAGAGACTAGACTTTTGTGTTTGTTCAGCTTGAACTTCTATAGAGCTTACCCCTGAATTTGTGTTAAAGCTTCTGGACAGGCTCACCATATTTTTTATAGAAATGCCATAAAACCTTCACACATTATGAATTTACCACCAGCGGCACCAGCAACTGCTCAAACTTCAAATCACTAGAAATGGAATACCTTAAACATGACATCACTATCAATAAATATTTTTATATTAATTTCTATTGATAATCAGTAATATGATAATTGAAATTGATGATTTGATATAGACAGTGACACTAGTGACAGGACTGACTGACAAACAGCTGATGAGAATATGCTTTTTAGAAATGACTACTAAACCGAATCTTCGGATAAATATCGAAAATGCTGATTGTTGACCTTGCGCTTGCGACTGTTTTATCTAACTTTGAAGAATTGAATTCAATCACATCATCAATTCATCGGAAATCAGAAAATTATCTCTCTATTCACAATCCACAGGACAGCGAACACCAAATAATTTCCTTGCCTTTTTATGTTTTGGAATTTGACAAAGGGATAACATTTATCTGAATTCTGAGTCTCCTGATTTTTTACAATACTCGCGGCTCTCTTTCCTTCGCGGCTGGTGTTCTAGTGTATCAAATTCAGAAAGCGCTGTAATAAAAAGTCGCATTGAGTTTTCAGTTATCAATGTTTTCGTTTATATTATAGATAGTATAGATACCATTCATTCATGTTGTGTTTATTATCGATGTGTCCTTGACCATGCCTTGACATGTCTGTTATCCTTTCGCACATTGATAAAAAACTGGTGAAATACCGAGATATGAGTGAACTATCAATGATGGTGTCGTTTGATTTGATGTACAGAATGATAGTTGTTTCCAAATTTCCGCGCTTATTCGTCTGGCATGAGTAAAAATTATTGGTATTTGATAATTCAGGTCCACCAAGCATGAAAAGCATTTATTATAAATGAGTGATTCATTCTGACAAGTAGAGCCATAATCAATAAATTTCATGCCAAACCAGAGATTATCTGTGGTTGACTAATCTCTGTCCCAAACTAACATGATAACTTCCAGACTTTGGTTTGCTATCCATGGCAGAGATCAGTCATCTCTGTCCATGGTTATTACATCGTTGAAAACATGAACGCTCTGTCAGACCAATCAGAATGGAAAGACAGCTCATGTTTTCGCGATAAGCGAACGGACGTTCTCAGTATGTTATGGGGACGTACTCGTGCTGTATGGGCATATTGAATTGTAAAACTGGAGAATATCAACTTTTTTATTGTCATTTGAGTTTTTTTAACTCGCTCATTCAAAGGGGATTTCAATATAAGACACTATATTTTCAATTCCTTCAACAACACACTGTGTCTCAAAAATGGAGCAAGTGAATTAGGAGTTGCACTGAGTCATTCACCCTCTAGTTGATCTTGGAGTTGTCTTGTTATAATATGACATCAAATTTATTTTCCGTCTACTTGAAGCAGTAGCCACTGCTACACAAATTTTACATTGACATTTGACATCTCTTCGTTTGACACGTTTGACTGTTTTGATTTGACAGTACTGATTGGAAAGTGTGAAAATGTTCTTGGTGGTTCTTGTGATCTTGTCATTTACTTGTTGCTTTTCCTAATTTCCTACCTCTTGATAGTCTTGATACTCTTGATAGTTGTAGTCTTTTAATTAATAATAGTCTGTAAATAGCACCTGTATCATTAGTCGGTTTATTTATACAAGAAAGTAGTGTTATCTTCACAAGGAATATGCAGTGTTCTGTTTCTGTTTCAAGTTTCGAGATCTACCCTTCCTAGTATGCAAAGTTGAATTATTTCTGTTCCAAGAACGTATTGCACAATATTTTTGGATTTTTCGGGCTTCTCGCAATCGAGTGAATCATTCCTGCATTTCGATAAGTAATTTACGTATTTATACCTGATCCTGTGTTCTTCTTGAATCTGATATCAACTGCTCACAATGGATATCTTCATGCCATTGGCAATTTGCGTTATCATCGTTATAATATTTACAATTTGTGGTTGGTGCTGCAAAAGAAAACGGGAGGGTACAGTTTATGGATGTGAGTATTTTTTTGTTGTTGCTGCTTCCCTATTTATTTTGACTGCCAAAATCTATTTATAATCCTAAAGTTTATATTTGTTGGAAATTTCAAAAGGGTCATCAGTCATCACTCCAGCAGAATCGAATGATCTCATCTCATTTATTAGTTCTTTGTTATATCAATTATTAGCAGTTGTTCAATTAGTAATTTTACATTTTTTCATGGAAATATGCCTATGTCAAGACCTATCTATATGTAGATCTTTCAGATGAGTGTGAAAATTGAACAAAAGATTAGAAATTGAGAAATTATATATTGCATTGTTGGTAGGTAATAGTGGATGTTGAGTCAATATTTGCCCTCTTGTTGAAGCTGTTCAAGTGTTCATATCATATCAATAAGAAGATAAAATATTATCAACATGAATATAATTATAATCTAATATTGATATTTGATACAATGCTCCTGGGAATCCCTACGTATAATTGCTGCTGGTCTATCGACTCTATCATAACTAAAAACAAAAAAAAAATGGCCCAAATCTCTATTTATTGAACGCTGGAGTATGGAGTATCGTTTTCACATCTAATAGGCGACTGGACTACCTAATTTTTTTCATTCCTTAAATAGAATGATAAGTTAAATATTAAATACCTTTCAATTTTATATTATTTTTAGCCGGTCGGTGGATTTTAAGGTGCTAAAATCATCAATAATGCCACGGTACTTTTTAAAGGGCTAGAAATTTACCGCCAGTAAAAACTGACGTCATGATTTCGTAAGTAGGGGCTCACACTAGTAGATGCAGACCTAGCACAGTTGCCATATGTTGAAATACGATTGGGGACTTCAGAAATAATATTAGTTATTCAATAAATCATAAATTCTCAATTATCTATTGGTAATATTGCTAATTATCAATGAAAATCAATTGCCTCAAAATTTATCCTCATGTGTTGTGGCTTATTGGTGTACATAATAATAATTATAATTCACACTAGCGGACATTTGAACCGGTGAACGTGACAACACGGCGCACGAATTGTGGGCGGTGTCTTGTCAGTTCTCAGCATTCAGCACATTGCTGCCAACATTTACATTTACATGATATTATTTTGTTTCGGGGTATACGAAATATTTGGACATGCTGGTTGCTGGAAAAAAGTCGAGAAGAACTATGAAATGGCTTCCTCCTATTATTGTTCTAAAAAAAAAACCTCTGAAATACAGGATGGTCCAAGATTCAGAATTTTGATCACCCTGTATCTGTTCCAATTAAATGTCAGTAGATAGTGAATCAAAAGTTAAGATAGGGACATGTAAGCCGTTTTGATCGATAATGAATAGTTTCAACACAAAAAATTCCTGAAATTGAAAAATCTCGATTTTGAACACCCTATATCTCTGTAATAATTCCTGCTAGACCCCAAGTGTGATGCATTGATGAAATCAACTCTTCGAGAAGAATCTAAAAACGCAATGAAATACAGGGTGTTCCATTTGAAATACCAAAGATGATGCTACTTTTTGGTAAAAGTGGCAACGCTGCATCGCTGCAAATATTTTGAATCGTTAGATCACAAACGCTTATTAGAGTAACCAAATTTTCAGGATAATCCAATGTACCGTTTTCCGTATACGTCTAAGGTACCATCGACCGTGGGCCACCCTGTATTCTACATCATAATACATCATCTTATTCTATTCGATTGGAGAGATAATGTCAATTCTCAATTTCAGAGGATTTTGATTTTTCATGCTCTCTTTTTGGATATTATTCAACAGATATAATTCAATGTTCGACGTGGCAAATAGCCAGGAAAGTAGTTGTTTTCTGTTGAATATTCAGAATGATATTATGTGCATATCTTTATATGAAGGAGAATGCAAATTCTCTACTTCAGAAGATTTTGTTTTCAAATTCTTATCGTGCATGTTCAATAGATATTATTCAATGTTTGTCGTGGCATATAGCCAGGAAAGTAGTGGTTTTCTGTTGAATGAACCGAGAAAGAATTAATATTTTCATCACATGGAGAATGCAAATTTTCAATGTATTTCTTTATATATACATCCATTTTTTTGTTTTCATAAATATATCTGAGAATATTTCTTCTCAGTATACAGTGTGTCCCACTTACCATGCTCACCATGGGTATCTTTTTAACGGTGAGAGATACGAGGTCGGTTAAATGACACCAAATGTGGAGTTTGTCAGGGCCAACTATAATGTGAAAAAACATTTTGATAAAATCTATTCGTTTTTGTTTTATACGCAAAAAACAGATTTTGATCATTTTCATGTCTCCTCCGTAACTTCTTTATTCATGAAAATATTCAAATAGGAATTTCACATTCTCATGGCAGTTTTTTAAAGTGATTTCGAAAAAAATATGAAATTTATACCAACTCTTCTAGAATTTGAGATATCAGCACCAACTTTAGTTTTTCGAATGTAGGTCATAGCTCACTATGACTTAGTTAGAAATAACTTTTTTTTCTCTTTCAGATGATGTGTCGCAGTAATAGTTTTGTGTTGATAACAACGGAGTTATCGTCATTTATACAAGAACAAAAAATTATTTGGAAGCCGCCATCTTGAATTTATAAATTTCAACAATAAAATCATGATCTCCGACCTCAAAAACCCCCACTTACCAATTTTGAATGGAATCGGACCAAATCTTGTCCGCCATCTTGGAGCAGCTATTTTTTTCAATGTCAACAAAAATTCCATAACTCCGATTAACTCGAAATTTAACAGGTGTTCATAATTTCGGTGACAATACATTATGGAATTTTTGGTAAGTAGGGGTTTTTGAGGTCGGAGATCATGATTTTCTTGTTAAAATTTATGAATTCAAGATGACGGCTTCCAAATAATTTTTTGTTCTTGTATAAATGACGATAACTCCGTTGTTATCAACACAAAACTATTACTGCGACACATCATCTGGAAGAGAAAAAAATGTCATTCGTAACTAAGTCATAGTGAGCTATGACCTACATTTGAAAAACTAAAGTTGGTGCTGATATCTCAAATTCTAGAAGAGTTGGTATAAATTTCATATTTTTTTCGAAATCACTTTGAAAAACTGCCATGAGAATGTGAAATTCTTATTTGAATATTTTCATAAATAAAGAAGTTACGGAGGAGACATGAAATTGATCAAAATCTGTTTTTTGCGTATAAAACAAAAACGAATAGATTTTATCAAATTTTTTTTTCACATTATAGTTGGCCTTGAAAAACTCCACATTTGGTGTCATTTAACCGACCTCGTATCTCTCACCGTTTAAAAGATACCCATGGTGAGCATGATAAGTGGGACACACTGTATTTAACTATTTGTGACTGAACTTGTCAGTGTGAATATGTATTTTCTGTATTTCGTTCCGGGATCAACACATGGCTTGCTGATTTGGAAACACAGTTTTTGTTCAAATAATTGTAATCTTCAATTTTTATCGTATGATTTGAAAAAAAAATCGCAACTTTCTTATTCATTTTCAAGTCGGCCCATCAGTGACAGTGACGACCACCACTACCCAGCCCACGCAGTCCCCAATGGTGGTGCCGCCCTACCCCATAGACGCCCGTCATCCGACCCCGCACGTGGCCGCCCCTGGCATGGGCTTCGCCGCCCACCAGCCGCCCTACCCGACGCAGCCCGCCCATCCCACGCCCTACAACCAGACAGGTGAGTGTGCCAGCGCCAACCCAAGAGCTTGGTAGCGTGGTAGAATCAAGGTCAATAGGCCTTTCCGGTCATTCCTAGAAACAATGATGGAAGTAAGATATGGTGTAATTACTGATGCGCTTTTGTTTCAGAAATTTTACTCCACTTCTCGAGAACAGCGAGAGCAATGGTTCCGTCGATATTCTAATAGATGGCGACATTGCACAATTATGACATTGGTCAATATTTTAAATGGCCGCAGATTTTTCTAAATCAAAGTTAAAATAATCGCACTGTTACATATGTTCCGTGTACCTAAAATGCAATTTGCTATTTTATTTCCACTCGTCACAGCAGCATTGCAGGATTACCATCTGGCGGAAAAATTTTGAATCAGGCTACTTTCACATGTATCACGTACACAAGTTTGGGTCCCTTCCGAATGGAATGGTTACGTGAAAATAATAAAGAGGAAAGTCAGAAATTTGTATATATTCTATTTATTATAGAGACACAGAATGTCAAAAGTAAAATCGTAGATTTTGGACCTATCTTCACAGACAATTTTCGAAGATTTCATGACGCAAGTGAATATTTGGCTAGAGAAATGAAGGAAAACGGCAATGAAAAGTTTTTCAATTATTTCAAAATGTCGCCTAATATGTTTTATCTATTGCTCGGACTCTTGGAGACTAAACTTGAAAATCAACCAAGAACCAGATTAGAAGTTACGCTTCATTATTTGGCATCTGGTGACACAGTATGACTTCTATTTCATATCTTTTTCGTGTTGGGATTTCTACAGTTACAGAAATTATTCCTGAAACATGCCTTTCAAGGCATTTAGAACACATCCATACAAAAACTACAAACACATCCCACAAAGTCTATGAGTTGTCGACGGTTTAGGAAAAAATCTAAAAAATTAAAATATTTACTTAACCTAGCTTTCTTCTCATCACGGACAAATTAAACGGATGAAACTTAATGCCAACTGCCAACTGGGTACGTTGCGATTGGTCAATATTTACCACATGATCCAACGGATCCGTGAAAACGGATGCATATGAAAGCAGCCTCAGCGTCTCGCTCGATGTGACGTAGAGAAATCATAGTAGGCGGTCGAGTGATTTTTCTTGAGTTTTCAATACGTAAAAATGGCCGACTACGCACACCATCTACTTATTTCCATCATTCTAAAAACAATATATCGTCGACGAAACCGCAAAACCAAGTAACTGACAAAAATTCGAAAATGGGATTCTGCCGGCAATCGGTCTATCATATTAGTGGGGATGCGTATGCAAAACCTCACAACTGGTAAAAAATTGTAAATATTTTAAAATCCATGAATACAAAACCCCTTATAATAAAAGGGGTCGTCAAAAACAAGTATCTAACAGTTGGCAACATGATTCACGCCTCTGATATTTTGTGTTCAATTTCTTTTCCCAGAGATCAATCTCTGCAAATTGGTGAGTGACTTTTTATACAGGGTGTCTGTAAAAGGTCTTTACAAAAACATACCACATATTCCCTAGACCAAAATAAGTCGATTTAAGTAAAATTACCTCAGTACAAAGTTGCGTCGTTTGGGCTTGAAGTTACAATTTTTAAATCGTTTTTCCCATATAAATTCAAAACGGCATATGCGATTTTGCTGAAATTTTGTATATTGGTAGAGTTTCATGTGGCAAAAAAAATGGTGTTGAAATTTTGTCCGATAATAATACATAGGCGTAGAACTTGATTTTTTTAATAATTGCACCTTTAAAAATTCTACGCCAATGGAAGAAAAGGAGTTTGAGTATGAAATTCAGATTGCGCAACTCATTTACTTTAAAAAAGGTACTCTTGATAAGACTTGATTGCTCTCATGGTTTTGACGAAATTTGCATTTTAGTAATTTTTAGGACATAAACAATAATTATTAAAATACAAATTTCGTCAAAACCATGAGAGCAATCAAGTCTTATCAAGAGTAGGTACTTTTTTTGTAGTAAATGAGTACCCAATCCAAATTTCATACTCAGACTTCAATTGGTATTTCAACCCATGATGTGAGAATTTATCTCAAGTATTTGTTAAGCGGAAAGTCCAGAAAAATGAAGTTACGTGTTTTTGCGAATTACTTTTCTGAATAATTGTTGTTGCTTTCGCACAGAAGCAGATGTCAAAACCGAGTATCTTACGCTGACAAACGTAAAAGTGCTTCTTCCCACATGTTGCACACAATACTTTTTCTACAACTACACTCATTCAAAGAATCCGAGTAATGTAACCTATTGGTATTTATTTTATAATGTGGCACTATGCCATGTTGAATATTGTGACCAATGAGTAGACGCCTTTCCTAGTTCCTCAAAGTATTACAAAAAAGTATACTTCCCGAAAAAGATTTTATTTCTGTATTTTTTTAGATTCCATAAATTGTTCGTACCAATAAGCCAAATCATACTTTTTCATTGAAATTTCCAGAAACACAATCCAACTTTCGCAGCATTTTCCATTATCTCTGTCTCTGCTGGCGGTGTATTTATCTAAATCGTCACATCACGGTATATACATCATATTATTTATTATGAATTGTTGGAACAATATTTGATGGAAAATGCGAGTTCTATCAAAAGCACTAATGAGAACTGAAGAATTTGAAAAACTTCTTCTGACAGTTGTGACAACTATTCAAAGCTGAACAGCAGCCAAGTTTCGATCGATTTTTGTTGATTCTCCAATGGAAATGTATGAGGTGTTGGCAAAGTGCCGTGATAAATTTTTTTTCTCACAGTATGGGCAATACATGGTTTTGAAACTAAGGAAGCTATGAGAAATGCGCTACTTTTCTTAGCAGTAGTAGAAAAATATATTTAAAAGAATCCAAGGATTGGTCGATTTTTATTTTTGAAAATCTATTATTTCCACATAAAAATTTTTGATTACCGTCAACTTCCTGCCCTATAGAACAACCCTCGGAAAAACCCCTTTAAAATTATCAAAAAAAAAAGCATATTATATTCATTTTAGAAGCTTTTATTTTGTTCTGATGGTCACTCTCTGAAATATATTTCAAATATTCATTTATGAGAGTCCTTTGCTATCTTTAATACCTCACACTTACCCCAAAATAAAGCCATTATAATTTTTTCTTTCCATCATGTTGTACCATCATAGGGTTGTGAATTTTCAATGATGAGGATTTTCTCAGTTCAATCAAAATCTGTCACCGAAAAATTTGGTGATGACATCGACAATTTTCAATTTTAAATATCAATTATCATTTAGTGACAGAAAAACGGACACTTGACGATTTTGTACCCTTTGTTTGCCTGTTAGATGGATCCAAATTATCGAAAATAACAAAAAAACTCGGCGAAATTTTGTAGGGGAGAAACTAAACAACTTTGTAGATAGTTTGGTAATTTTTTAACGCAGAAATGTAAATTTTTTTCTTCGAAGTATTTGGCATCATACTGGCTGTTTTAAAAGTGTATGTTAGTTCTTATAGAATGTTAACTAATCTTGTGAATTTTTCTATCAGTTACTCACTATGGTCCGCTTCCTCCACCCATGGGTATAACAGGTTATCCGACGTATAATAATGGTCAGTTGCAAATATGCTAGAGTTTTTTTTTCCTATTTTTTTTCAGTAAACATATTGCATGTGATTAGAAAATTTGAGTGGATGCTTTCTTCTTTATTTCTCTTTTATTATTGTTTGAATTGTTTGACAAATTAAAAATATTCCTCGCTTCCATTTGAATTATCAACGGAGTGATGCTTTATTTTTGTTTTAATTTCCACTAAGATTTCTGTGTTATAGGCAGTGGCGGCTCGTGACCTTCATGACAGAGGAGGCTGAATGATATGAGATTTATTGTGAAAAACAACTCTCTACGACTCACCCAAATCAATAGCTCTAATGACATTCTGTTTACCAGTCAACCTGAACTTGATACTTGAAGAGATGTGTTCCTGTGATTTGCAGTGTCTATTGAATCCGCGAGGCAAATTTTTCAAATCATTATATATCCTAATCGCCCCCAACATGATGACTTATCGGTTGAAAATAATACGCAGTACCAACAAAATAGCTTATTCCTTACCTCAGATCCCGTCAACCAGATATATTTTTTATAATTATCAGAATTGAACGAACGATTTTGTTTTGTTACCTGTTACAATCAGATTTTTCAATTCCGGTGTCGGACGTTTGTTTTTCACAATCAATTTATCTTCATAAGACAATGCACTGAATGGGTTCACCAAAAAGTATTCCACTAAATCGCAATCGTTTAAAACAACCATTAACCTAACATAAACAATGCACTCGCGCTGGATTGTCCGCAATTCGCGACGAGACACGACAAACACGTGCTATTCGGGCGTATTCGGGCATTTGCATTGCGCGCATGGGTTTCGATTGTGAAGGAGTCTAGCCTCCTATAGATGTTGCCAAGTTGAATATTTTACGCGTGATTTGCAGACTTCAACGTGTGATGCGTGGGCAAGTACTGTTGCCAATTCAAAAATATTTACCTAAAGACAGGAAATAAAATCAATATCCATGTACTTTGGTGTCCTTTTAATGAGAAAGTATAGATAATATCAGTTTGAGGAGAATCTCTGAGGAGGCTCAGCCTCCGTTGCCTCCTCTGAGGAGCCGCCACTGCTTATGAAATATGTAGTTTTTCACGTAAATATTCATATTTTATTAATATATTAATAGTTGATTTCTTTTTATTTTTATTTTGGTGTCACATTAGTCATGGAGCAAAGTATCTTTCAATGAAATACATGATGATACAGGGTGGGGCATTAGTGCGTCGGAGCTCGATTGCTCGACATCTATGATAGCTAGAAACCTGATTCAAAAACGAATGTGAATGAGACAACAAGGTCCATAACTAGAAAGTATTGCCGCATATACAGGGCGCACCAAAACTAATCTAGAGGGTCGGGATCATTTTTTTCAAATGGAATGCCCTGTATATTTGCATATTTTTTGGAGCATCCCTGTGACCTTCATCCACTCCTATGATATCGTTGACTATATCTCGTTCATATCAAAGTTATGAATTTTTTTGTCGAAATAATTTCATCTGCAGATGCCTACCGAAAATATCACTGTTGTCACAATTATAAAATTCAAGAAAAAATAATGTCAATATCATTTATTGAAAAGATCAGTGACATTTCTGAAAATGTTTCAGGCCCTCAAATGATACAGGGTGACTGAAAATGATTTTTCAATTCGGAACTTCTCTAAGTGATAATTCTCGAGTTTTTCAAATAGAACACCCCATATATTATTTGACCATTTGATGTAAAATGGAAACACTAACATATTTATCTGAACATCCATATCGATATTCATAACCATTTTTGAATTATTGAACTTTGAAAATTATAGGTTGGCGATTTTGATCGATTCAGATTCTTATCTGTCATTAAAACATCAAAAGTCCAATTATTAATTTAGTGAACCAATTTTTTCAAAGAAAGAATCGATACCAGAATCGAAGCAAACAGAAAAAGTTCATATGCTAGTTATTCACAAAGTAAAAAGAGACAAAATTTGCATTTCTCAAGTATCCCATATATTCATGGCACATTGAAAGCAAAACCAGAATAATTGAGAAATGAAATTCTTTCCGTCTCTACTTTGTAAATATTCAGCATAATTATGACCTATTCATGTCTGCTTTGGTTCTGACATCGATTCTTTCAATAAAAAATTGGTTTACTAAATTGTTGATTGAACTTTTGATGTTTTAATAACAGATTAGAATGTGTATCGATGAAAATGGTCAACCTAAAATTTTCAAAGTTTAAAAATTCAAAGATGGTGGCGAATATCGATATGGATGTTCGAATAAATATGTTCGTGTTTCGATTTCACATCAAATGGTCAAATAATATATGGGGTGTTCCATTTGAAAAACTCGAGAAAAATCACTTCGTAAAGTTCCGAATTGAAAAACCATTTTCAGCCACCCTGTATCATTTGAAAACCTAAAACATTTTCAGAAATGTCACTCATCTTTTCAATAAATGATATTGAGATTATTTTTTCTTAAAGTTTATAATTGTGGCAACAGTGATATTTTCGGTAGGCATCTGCAGATGACATTGCTTCAAAAAATATGCAAATATACTTGGCATTCCAATTAAAAAAATTGATCCCGACCCTCTAGATTATTTTCGGTGCGCCCTGTATATGCGGCAATAATTTCTAGTTATGGACCTTGTTATCTCATTCACATGCATCAATAATTTTGATAATTGCGATTGTATTTTGATAATTATATGTTATTACATTGACACAATTAATTCCTGACGCTATCTGGAGAGTATAAGTCATTTGTTGCAAATTTATCTTCAGTTAATCATCGTACATATAGTTACAACTGTTATCAATTTTTAGTTCCTAACGCCTACATTCCACTTTCAATTTTAATCCAACCATAAAGATAGATAAAACAACTCTCCATATTATGTGAAAGGCATTTTTGCTGTATAGTTTATACATCAATATGTACTCCTAAAAAATTGTTTTATAATGTTATAATGCATTTTATCATACATAATTCCAAGGTCAACAATCCAATGACTTGTTATTGAAATTATTTTGGTGCGACATTCTGCATGTTTGATATGATTAGCCACACACAAACAACTTATATGTTGTTCTTGGATATTCTCAAGAGATAATTCAGTTTTTTTTCCTTGAAAAAGGAATACTGATAGGGTAATCTCTTGGATGATATGGTTGAGGAAACCAAAATTTTATCTACACAATTTCTTTAGATTTTCTCGTCTATAAATAAAAATATCACTATTATTTCAATATATTATATATATTTTGAATTTTAATAATAGGTATGTACAGGGTATTTACTTGTTGAGGAAGATCATATGGCGAACGAGTTTTGTAATATATGATCCGATTCTCTTCAAAATTGGAAGGTATGTGGGGTTTTCCGGGGTTGGAGATAATGATTGTTTCGTCAAAATTGAAAAATTCAAGATGACGGATCCAATATGGCGAGAGACATTAGTTTATATAATTATTACTCTACCACATATAGAAAATCTGTAGGATGCAAGAGTGAAAATAACGTGCCTATAAGTTATACTGCGTATACTCAGCTTATACCTACTTCTTTGTTACTTTAACTTACTATAATTTATTTTCCTGCATATTTTACGTATTAATTTTTATCAGCCTACTTTTCGTCCTAGACGAAGTTTTATACATAGTGTGATATTAGTAACTCCATAAATTCTTCTTGGAGTTGGAATTCTGAAAATATATTTAGCACATTCTTCTTCGAGTTGGAATTCTGAAAATATATTTAGCACACATGACATGAGTCTAGTTACCCATATCGAGGTTTCCACCATTTCTAAATCATAAGGCTCAGCTCATTCAGCTCATAGATAAACTACTGCTCATTCAGTCAATTCAGTCATCCCTGGTATACAGTCTAAGAACAGTCTCTTTTGGTGAAATATATTGAGCTTTCAGTACAATTTATATGTTCCCTAAATCGCAAAGATTATGCTGGAGTAGTAAACTCTAAAACTAGAGAATTGTTCATCTATATCTTGGTGTAGTTGAATCAGCAATTCCATATGGAAATTACGTATGATACGCCAATGTCCTCAATATAACCTAAATAACAACGAATGTCAAAAATCTAGTGTTTATCCCCAGAATTGAATAAGGATGAACTATATAACTGTTTCACAAACACTTTAGAGTGAGAAGAGACGAGGATCTGTCCGTACCCTGTTAAGATGACTTTAACGTCAATTTCCATCAAGGGACCCTAACAGGAAGAATCTAAATGGATTATATTTTTTGTAGAAAGTCAGGGAAGGGGGCAATTGCCTCCCCCCTGGCCCCCCAAATGACGCCCATGACAACGTAATTCGATCTTCTCATGTGCCATCAAAAAACACTCATTTTACGTGGTTGAATGATTCTGAATGCATGTGAATGAGTATCTTTTTCTAGGTGCCCATCACTACCCGGCTGCCGCCCCATACCCGCCCACTGTCGCTCCTTACCCGCCCGCTGCCGCCCCCTACCCCCCTACGGACTACAACGCCCACCCGCCCCCGTACGATGTTGCCGTCGCCTCGCCGCCGCCCGGCCAACCGGCCCTGCAGAAGGAGGGATACGGGAAGCAGGCGCCCTACAACCCCCACTACAATTAGGTTAGGGTGCACCAGAGTATCGCGAGAATTCAAATGACCATGACTTTCGGCATGGATGCATTTTGTGGTGAATTGAGACCGGAAATCGACTTGTAATTTTGATATTATTTTTACCAACTTTGACTGAGATTAACTAAGATTCTCAGTGCAGCTCAATAGCTCAGTGCGTCCACAGTATTTTTCCTAGAAATTGCTAGAAGCAAGAAGTTTACGGTGACCATATCCCTTCAGCAAAAATATGATCGACTTGCCGTGTATATCAAGAAAGAGGGCCTTAAATAAAAGTTATATTATTTTGCTCAGAAAGGTTTATATGTTTTCACAGACTAACCTAATTTTTACCAGGAGAATTGACCGCCATAGCTAGAATGGTTCTAATTTGTCAAAAAAAGTCGTATATACCGAAAATCATGGTTATTTGAATTCTTGCCACTTGCACGTTCGATGTTGAGGGGTGGGGTGGATTGTTCCAAGTTTTGGTGGATGTATTTCGTTGTTAAATTGAGGACAATTGTGTGGAAATAACGAAGGGAATGCCTATCTGTGCCTAGGGGTTGATTTTCCTAGAGGCAGCGGATCTTTGCTGTGCCTAAGGGTTGATTTTCTCAGGGGCAGCGGAACCAATATAATCACCGATTTTTTTCAGCCGGTTTTTCAGCAACGAAACAATGCAACAATTTTTTGTACAATTTTCAAAGCATATGTTGATTATTTTGTATGTTTTATTCATTTCTCAACTTTAGGGTTTCCAATTACCGCGATTAATATCTAGATTCCGGGATCACGAGATTAACCCAAATATTTATTTCAATCTAACACTAGCAAAAAAAATTATAAGAATGCAGAAATTCATGAAAAATAACGATTTTCTTATAGAATACAGAAACAATAATATTTTTTTCACATTTCATCAGAAGTATAGTATCAAAAAATCATATTTCGTTATGAATCATAAAACTCGGAACTAGAAACAGAAATAGTGAGGCATAATTTATGAAATTGTTCAATTAAAATGAATTTCAAACTTCTGCCTTGTTCTGCATGCTGCAAATAAATTATGCCCTTAGAAACACCAACGCGTCTAGAGTCAAGTCGTTTAAAGAAAAGAAAGGAATAAAGCTGATTGCAATTTCATCATTAAAAAAATTATCAAGATTTTCGGGATTCCAGATAGGAAACCCTACTACAAAGACGTGGCAGGGCAAACGTAAATTTTAAAAGTCATAAAAGCCATGAATAGTGATATTTTGGTAAACAGAAGCTGCAGTGCCGTATCATTTTAGTGATATATTGCTACTATTCCAATTTTATTTCATTAGATTATAGACAGCATCAATCATTATAAAATATTCAACTTTGATCATCACCAACCTTGTATTTTCTCATTCATTGACTAATCTCATTAAATTTCTGATGAAATGCCCGATATTACTAACAATTGATTTATTTTTCATCAATCAATCGATCATGGGTGGTCACAAAAAAACCGGAAGTTTTCATTTTCCTCGTGGTTTCATCATTTCTGAACCGAATTCCAATTTCTTGGCGTCGTTTCATAGCTAAAGGGATATAGTATGCAGTGAAATATTTGAAAATATCATGATAAACAAAAACAAAATGGCGGATTCTACCAAAGTATTGTCATTTACAAAAACCGCTGGAGAAAAATTGAATCAGATTTTTTTCAACCTGTACCGATGTCATCTTAGGCTATTCATTTCTGAAGAGAATGAGTGTTCGAACATCGAAATCGAACAAATAGTCTAGTAGATACACTCATTTCTTTGCAATTTGTTATGGTGTGAATGTGCTAATCTCGTACGATTATTATTATTTTGCTTCAGGCTTCATGAAAATTCAATGGAATTTATGTTTCTGAGAGTTATTTCAAAGATGAAGAACTGTAGTTCACAATGGAACATTTGAAAATCGAATAATTGGAAGAAACAAGATGGTGGAGAATCCAGAATTTTTGTGATTTTCAAAAATCTCTGGCGAATAAAAAAATGTGTGTTCTTCCAATCAGGTTCGATACAATTTAAGATCATTGATTTTTAAAAAGAATGAGCACTCGAACATCTGAATCGAACAATTAGTCCAGGAGAAACACGTTCTTTTTGGCAAAGTGTTATGGAGTGAATGTGCCAATCCCGTGATAAGAATTACTTTTAGTTTGCTTCTGGCTTCATCAGAATTCAATCGAGTTTGGATTTTTTAATGCCATTCCAAAGCTGAATACAGTGGGACATCTGAAAATTTCATAATTGAAAAAAAAAACGAAATGGTGCAGTAACCCTATCTTTCGTGATTTACAGAAACCGCTAGCGAATAGAAAAATGTCGATATTGACATCGAGGTGTAAGTCCAGGAAGATTGCGTGAAACCCTGAAAATTAATAAAACTTTATTCTAGTTGTAGTCAAAACAAAACGAATTTTGAAATGACCTGAATGTGTCTCTCTTTTGCTTCAAGAAATCTGATTTTCTTTTTCTCCAGCGGTTTTTGTAAATTACGATACTTCGGTAGAATCCGCCATTTTGTTTTTGCCCATTATGAAATTTTCGAATATCCCACTGTATACTATAGCCTTTCAGCTATGTAACGACGCCAAGAAATTCGAATTCGGTTGAGAAATGATGAAACCACGAGGAAAATAAAAACTTCCGTTTTTTTTGTGACCACCCGATAGATCAATCACATAATTGTACATGTTGAGAAAAAACAAATTTGAAATCGGTCAATGAATACGAAAATGCAGGGTGGTTTATATCCACTGTGCATTTTCAAATCTCTGAAAGCACCCCACCCATATATATATATATATGTGTTACTCACCTACTTATTTTGTATTTTATTATCGGATTTCTGTTAGTCAACATTTCGTGATGTAATTGCAACTATCATTTTAGAACTTTTTACCAGCGATAAGCAGGTAAGACACATCTCAGTATTTTGGCGACAATTTTTCTTGTTGTGGTCTTTTACTTCCTCATTTACTGAAATACCTAGTATTTTTCCATTTATTTGGGAGAGTTTTGGAAAATAACGGACAACTGATGAGATGCAGGAAAAAAATTGTAATTTTAACTGAAGTCTACATTATCGCTGGTGAATTTTGTATCATCTGATATGATCGAAGGAAGAGAGAAAAATTCAATATGGTTTTCAATTTATTGTTAGTCAGTGTCTTGAGATTGTGTGGAGAGTTTGCTTTAGCACAATTTCGACTTTCTACCGCAAATTGTTTTGTTTGACATTTCGACAATACAAGAATTTTCAGTTTAGAATCCATAAAATATATTGGGAAAAGCATGAATGCCCTGAATTAGATCAAACACTTGGAAAATGTTAGGGATATTCAGGCAATGTTTTTATTAGCCTACAATTTTGTTACATCCCTATAGGGAACAACCATTTTAATGATTATGTTGATAGAAATAAAAGTTTTCTTGATGAAAATCAGCTGACTCATTGAACATCTATTCGAAAACATGATAGTATACAGTGTGTCCCACTTACCATGCTCACCATGGGTATCTTTTCAACGGTGAGAGATGCGAGGTCGGTTAAATGACACCAAATGTGGAGTTTGTCAAGGCCAACTATAATGTGAAAAAATATTTTGATAAAATCTATTCGTTATTGTTTTATACGCAAAAAACAGATTTTGATCATTTTCATGTCTCCTTTGTAACTTCTTTATTTATGAAAATATTCAAATAGGAATTTCACATTCTCATAGCAGTTTTTCAAAGTGATTTCGAAAAAAATATGAAATTCAAACCAACTCTTCTAGAATTTGAGATATCAGCACCAACTTTGGTTTCTCAAATGTATGTCATAGCTCACTATGAATTAGTTACAAATAACTTTTTTTTCTCTTACAGATGATATGTCTCAGTAATAGTTTTGTGTTGATAACAACGGAGTTATCGTCATTTATACAAAAACAAAAAATATTTGGAAGCCGCCATCTTGAATTTATAAATTTTAACAAAAAAATCATGATCTCCGACCTCGAAAACCCCCACTTACCAATTTTGAATGGAATCGGACCAAATCTTGTCCGCCATCTTGGAGCAGCCATTTTTTTTTTATTTCAACAAAAATTAATACCGATTAACTCCGATTAACTTAAAATTCGGCATGTGTTCATAATTTCGATAACAATACATTATGGAATTTTTGTTGAAATCAAAAAAAATGGCTGCTCCAAGATGGCGGACAAGATTTGGTTCGATTCCATTCAAAATTGGTAGGTGGGGGTTTTAGAGGTCGGAAATCATGATTTTTTTGTTAAAATTTATAAATTCAAGATGGCGGCTTCCAAATATTATTTTGTTTTTGTTTAAATGACGATAACTCCGTTGTTATCAACACAAAACTATTACTGCGACATATCATCTGTGAGAGAAAAAAAAGTTATTTGTAACTAAGTCATAGTGAGCTATGATATACATTTGAAAATCTAAAGTTGGTGCTGATATCTCAAATTCTAAAAGAGTTGGTATAAATTTCATATTTTTTTCGAAATCACTTTGAAAAACTGCCATGAGAATGTGAAATTCCTATTTGAATATTTTCATAAATAAAGAAGTAACGGGGGAGACATGATCAAAATCTGTTTTTTGCGTATAAAAGAAAAAGGAATAGATTTGATCAAAATATTTTTCCGCATTATAGTTGGCGTTGACAAACTCCACATTTGGTGTCATTTAACCGACCTCGTATTTCTCACCGTTGAAAAGATACCCATGGTGAGCATGGTAAGTGGGACACACTGTATATGACAAAGAAAGAAATACACTATTTGCATCCGTACATTGAGTAATAATCTTAACTTTTTCCATGTGTTGAGATGTACCTATTCACTGATGATTCTGATGATTATCCTATTTTTCTTTGCGTTTGTGCCATTGGAAATACTCTTGGCACTTTTAGGTTATGCGTTCATATATTATGTTATTTATAATTTTTGCTTTGACATGTGATATAGGCTG